CCCAGTAGACTCTCCCTCATTTACATAGACCCCTGTATATATCTCTCAGAATATTACTTCGAAACTTTTCACGAGTTCATCAATCAATGGGTCTGAATTAAGTTCTTAAAACCCCCGACAGTTAAATCGCCGGAAAATTTTGCAGTTTTCTTCCGCGAGACTCACAGAATATACAAATAATCCCCCGAAAAAAAATAAACTCGGGAAACTGTGATTAACGATACAAACTTGAGCAATTTCGGGGGAAGGCAACTGTGCAATTGGAGGTATAAATAGTCGCGGTAAAGGGAATCCTTTTACACGAGTATTTTGTAAAATTGTGGAGAATCGATAGGGCCGCATCGCTAGTCCACCCTCCGACTCTCAGCAGTTTGAAACTCTCTAAAAAAATTGCCCAGGAGATAACGTCAAGATAAAAGAATTCAAGTGTTTCCTTAATACCCCTCCAGTCTTCAATTGTTAAAGTTCTCAACACTCATTGGCAGCTCTCGAGTATTTTCCATCGTTTTTCCAGACTTAATGGTCCCTACAATTGCTAAAAAGGGCCTAACAAGTGCCACTCGTGTTGAAATGAGGAAATAAATAGAGAAATTTCTCTCGTGCAGTTGAAGATGATGCAGAAATGCATTTTTCAACATTTCTTCATTATTCCGGGAGCACAAGTATATTCTCTGCTGTTGAAATGTAGAAATAAACAATAACAATAGGGATTAAACTAAGTGAATTCATGCCGCTTGACCCTTTAAATCATTTAAATCAAATTTTTGTAATGAAAAACAAAACATCACTTTTTAGAAATTTTTAAGACATTTTAATTCCAATGAATTTTGCAATTGAAACTGTAGAAACTATAGATCGTTTCTCCAGTCTTAATGATCCCTACCGTTGCTGAAAAAGGGCCTAACAAGTGCCACTCGTGTTGAAATGAGGAAACAAATAGAGAAATTTCTCATGATGCAGAGATGCAATTTTCAACATTTCTTCATTATTCCAGGAGCACAAGTACATTCTCTGCTGTTGAAGTAGATGCTCCGCGGATCTGCTGCACTCGGAAATGTTGAAATAAACAAAAACAAACGGGAATAAACGAAGAAGTATGAAAAAATGATCCTGGAAAGGACAGAGATTGAGTCGAGACGAAATAATAAAAAGTTGCTTTGTGCTGTTTCATGAAAATCTGGTAGTAAATCCACGTGAAAACTTGGTAGACCAGCGTAGAAGCCAAGAAAAAAATTCGTACACAAGTGTTGGGGTGAGATTGCACTCACTGTGGCTATTCTTTTCCTCTTTTTATCCCTCCTCTCGCATTTTCATCCAACACTTTTCTGGATTTTAGCCCAGGGAAGCGATTCATTTACACTTCTAGGGATTAGAGATGCCCAGAGTTTTTATTAATGCACCTAGACTCGGGGAATTATACTGTATTTACGGCTGTTCTGGATGTCTCAGGTACTTGTTACTTTGAAGGAATGAGCACTAGCGCGGAGGTCATTCCCTTTGTAGGGCGTATGTCGTTCTTGTTATTTCAACGGGGAAGCACGTACGCGAATGTCTCAGGGACGTGGGAGGGTAACGTGACATATTTGAATTTAATGTGTTTTATCTGCCTGCACGGCCATCCGAATTCAATGATTCAGGGGATTTAATGCTGACGCGGCACCAGGGCTCGTTAAAATGACTGATTTTCGAATTTCGTTGCTCTTCGAAATTCAAAATTTTTTATTGAAAAAAAAAACAAAGGCTGTAGGACGTTCGAAGTTCTGTCTTTTGATAAAAAAAATGTGTGAAATATTTTTGTCTTTTTTTTATCCACAAGTGAAATTTTATCATTGAAAATACACAGTTTAATGAAAAAATCGACGAAAACTGTGAATTTCGTTTTAGTTATTTCATAAAAATGAATGAAAATTATAAAAGTTTAGGTAAATTTATTTTTGAAATTTAAATTAATTAAAAATGCACAATGCATAATTTGGTACTGAATATTCATGTAAATTGAGGAATTATCGTTTTTCTGTAGAAACATTTGACATTCCCCAGAATTCCCAGTGCTATTCGCATTGTAAAATTGAGTTCGATGTTCCCCTCCCTCTCTCCGGCATTCTGTGAAATATATTAATGCAGAACTCACCGATATTCTCAACCCCAAGTGCATTTGCCTTGCTCTCTTTACTCTTTTCATCCCTGTTGCAAACGTCACCGGTATTCTTCCACCATTTGTCGTACAGTATTTGTATAACTCCCTTCTCCTGTAGCTCGAGAATAGCCAGTGATATCTTGTCTCTCCACGGTGAACCTGGGAGATGACGTAAGAAACATGAGGACACTCGGAAAATATCACTTTATATGCCAAATGTACCCTTTTGGGGATTTGAAGGGATATCGGGGGAAATGGAATGTCAAAATTATTCTAAAACGCTTTTCCACTGATTTATCACCTTTTGGGGTCGCTATGCCGTAGCCCTTGCTGTCCAAGAGGCCACCGATTTGCGTTAGATTGCAATCTCGTTGGACTGCGTAGTCCAGCATTGTCGATTCCATCAGGAATGCATAATTCCCCTCCAAAACTCGCTTTATTCCCTCCTCGTAGGTTGAGACGAATACAGTAGATCTTCGGGATTCCATAAATCTCCACATTTTTTGGTAGATTCCTATTTTCGAATCCTGAGAAGTTTAATTTAACATTTGAATGAATTAATTACAACAAAGAATTTTATGAAAAAATGTATTGTTGGCATTTGCTGGAATTTCGCGACATTTCATTGATGTAAATTTTTCATTCACTTATTTTTTCGTCGAGACAGGAGTAATTGAGGATTTATTAACAATGCAGGTGTGAAATTCTGATTAAATGCGGAGATTTTCGGGTGCTCTTTGTTGATTTTAAGTAAATGAAAAAAAAAAAATACTCTCATGTTTTTTAATTGCAATTTCATTAATTTTTTAATGATTTACCGACAATGATAATTATATAATATATAATTTATATAAATTATAATAATAATTAATAATCAATTATTCATTAATATTAATTCTTTATTAATTATTATTTTTTAAATATTTTATATTTCATATTAATTCTCAAATGTAATATTTACGCACGTGACATTTTAACAATGACACTCTGTCGGTGAAAATTCAGGCTGCTGCAGTTGTTTTGTTAAATAACGAGATAAAAAAAATATACATACCCTGAAAAACGTCATTGTGCTTCCCCCTTCAAGCGTACCGTAAGTGATCTCCGTTTGTTCAGCCAAGTCAGCGGCATTTTCAATTGGCGTTATCATTCTCTCGACCGTGAGAAAGGCAGCGAGGTTGGCAGTGTACGACGATATAATTATCAGTGTGAAGAACCACCATATTCCACCCACTATTCTCGTACTGGTTGCCTGATTTAACAACTCTTAATTAATTTTTCACGTCGACGTCGTCGTATCAGGGAACATTAGTATTTTTTTTATGCCTCCGGGCAGTACTTCCAGAAGAATTGCACATTTCAGAATTCTATCAGTTCTTTTCTAATTGAATTTTTTACGCAACTGAGATATTTTTTATAAAAATTCGTCGGCGCAAATTTTCCAAGTTTTTATGTTTGATTTTTTTAATGAAAAGGGAGCAAAGGGAGGAAGTTCTGTAGAAAATGTCTCAGTATTAAAATTATGTAAAAAGATGAAACTAGAAAACAAATGGATTTTTTTTTCGCGTGTGCAACCTTAAGATTATATATCTGGCAACACTCCTTTCAGTGGAAAGTGTCAAAATCATTGGATGAACTTCACATGTTCCGTTGAGAATAATTTCTGCTCTCAATTTACGATCACGATAGGAGAATTTGCGAGTAAACTAGCTCGATACCAAGTGATGAAAGAGAAAATGTAGCGGGATGAATTCGAGGAATGCCATATGAAGTTCATCATGCATGAGAGCCTTTTCCGCACTGAAATGAGCGTTCATATTTATTCCAACGAGTATTATTAAAGGTCAATATTGGAGATTGGAGCACACAGGAGGAAGAACTCGAGGCAAAAATTAATTATAACGACCGGCGTTTGAATAGTGAAAAAAAAAAACATCCAGCGTTGATGAATATTTATTAACTGAAAAATACCCACAAATTGTTTTCTCCTCACTTGAATACTTTGTACAACTAAAATCACCGTAATTTGCAGTGTTGGAAAACTCTGATTAAATAAAAATATGGATTGTTTTTTCTTAATTTTTTGGTTCAGTCGGATCAGTCTTTTTGTTTCAGTCTCAATTTTTCTATATTGTGCTGAAAATTTCAGTAACAACACCGCAGGCAACCTCATCCCCGCATGTACACAGAGCCGGTGAGCACCATATGTCGTACAATATTTGTTTTGTTCAAATTGTAGGCGAAATTCATGAAGAAAACAGAAATAAGCGATGTTTATATTTTTCATGTTTTATTAATGATTCCGCTTCATGCAAATCCGGATTATTATTTGTTAAATTCAGTAGAGAATATCAATATGAAATCGTACATTAGCATTAATGGATGCTTTATTTAATTGAAACGGATAATTTCTCGGGCAACGCTTAACGCTAGAACTAATATTGAATTTTTATTGAATATTATTAAAAAACAAATTTTATGGAATAAATGACAGGCGAATGTAAAATTCTTTCAAAAGAATTCCAACCAGAAGCGTTGGAATTTTTCGTTTCCTCGTAATTGCAATTGTTATGTAGAAAGATTTACAATATTTATTTGTTTACAAATTGCAGGCGAAATTCATGAAGAAAACAAAAATTACCTTGTTTATAGTTTTCACGTTTTATGAGTGATTCCGCTTCGTGCAAAACCGGATTATTATTTTTTAAATTCAGTAGTGAATGTCAATATCAAATCATACATTTAGCTTATCTCATGTTAATGAATCCTCTATTTATTTCAAACGCACCATTTCAACTAATATTTAATTTTTTATTGAATGTTATTCCAAAAACAATTTCTACGGCAAAAATGTGTGAAAAAACTGCAACATTCACAACCGGAATGAGCGAATAGAATCCTTTCAAAGGCGTTCCGAGCAGATACGTTGGGGGTTTTTCATTGAATTCCACCGATTCTCTGCACTTTTTATTTTATTTCAGTTCAGTCGCTGGAACTATCCCCCTCGCTCTCTCCTAATTCCAATGTGCAAATAGGAAAAACGAGCCCGAGGGTAAAAAGATATCCTCAAACTGGAGAGGAAAAAAAAAATGAGTGAATAGATGATGCCATGTGCAGAAAATAGAAGTTGAAGCGTTATCTGCTCTTTCCATCACAGAAAATAATACGTCTCAGCGCGTGAATAACGAAATATGCGATATTTCAGGGCTCATTGTTGCCATTTGAACTATTTCAACAGTTGTGGCTTTAGATTATTATAGTGCCACGTAATTTCGAGGCTCTCCACAATCATGAATATGACCCCTCCCGACAATTCTCTGGAATTTCCGTTGTGGCCCATTCATTTTATTTTTTTTTCTGCCAGACTTTTTCCAACTCACACCAGTGAATAGAGAAAAAAAAGACTTTTTTCAAGGCAGCGGTCGATAAAAACTTTCGGATAGTGATATAGAAGCTGAAAAGAAACAATAGAAACTGAGAAATGCAAATCGTGGGTAATGAATGAAGGTATTTCGCGCGGGGATTTTTTTAAGCCCTGAAAATGCACGTGTGACCAGAGGGGAAATTGGACTATTTGTCTACAGGACTGAAGGGCGAAAAAATTATGGGGAAAATTTGTAGTGAGAGGTATTTATTGGAGGCAACGTAAAATATTTGTTATTAAAACAAATTGGATAGTGTTTTAATTCGTTAATAACAGTGATTAATCTATTAATTTAGAAGAAGTTTCCTAAAATTTCAAATTCACTTTTTTTCACTTAATTATTATTTCAAAAAACATTTCATTTTTTTCAAACTTCATCTCCAAAATCATTCGAAATTCAGATAATAAGGAATTAGCTTTAATTATAACTGATAATAACATTCGCTTGATGTTTTAAATTGTTGATAATAATAATTAATGAATCAATTTAGAAGAAATTTTCAAAAATTTAACATTCACTTTTTTTCAAACTCCATCACCAAAATCATTGGAAACACCGATTTCCATGGTATACACCCGACGTATCAATGACCCAAAACCAATGATCGTAAATTGGCATTAGTTACAAGCCGTAATAACAGTTGCATAATGCTGGAGAGTCTCACGCTCCACGTCAAATTCACGAGGGGCGCCCCTTCCATGCGAATCAGTCACGTTTTAATCGTATTTGTCCAACAGTCCACGTGCCTGACGAGTTTGTCCAGTGGGTTACAACTACGTTCGTCAAATCCACCCTAAATTCATCATGTGACATTAACATTCCCGGATGGCATTGCAATCTGAAGTGGACGTTTCTGTTGAAGCTGATGGGACATAAGGTGCTTGGCTTTGGCATGCACATGCAGGGATTATGATATCAATGTTTCAATGATTAATTATTTTCGTTGAAATTGTTTTTTTTGTACTCATATGGTGCTTGAATTAATCACGTCGTATTAACTCGAAGCTCGAGAATTCGTTTAACGTCGGAGTAAAAAATATTCTATTGCACTTTCGAGCTTTGAATTTTCAGTAATGAATGGAATATTTCAATTCTGAACTTCGTTAATTTGTTGAATCCAATTGAATTGCCTCCAGTGGTTTGATGAGATTAAACGAGCCGCAGTAATTATTTTACATTCCCATCATGTGATGTGAAATTTTACCAATTATTATTCCATCTGAAATTCCGGAATTCTCTAACAACTCGACGATTCAATAAACCAATTGACGTTGAACGAGTTATCGTAAAAATTATCAGTAGATACAGCGAAACGTCGATTGGTTTTAGTTCATATATTGATTTTATTCGAAATTTCATCGGCTCTGTGACACTAAAATTACCTTGGGATTGAGGTCACTCCCCTGTTGCATTAAAGTTCCAACTGCAAACCAGAAACTGTTGGCAAGGCTGAAATCGTTGACTGTTCTTGGCAATGGGATGTCATCGCTCTCCGGCTCCAAGGCACTCACGTGGCTCCCCTGATCAGATAGGCCCCATCGCCAAGTAATGTCAGATTTATTTTATCTTTCCACACATCGAGTTCATTCATCAATGAGCAATTTCTATCTCAATTTTTTTTTAATACGTGGATGAAAAAATTCTGTTGCAAATTCTATGCAATTTTTACGATTTTATGACAACGATTTTATGCTCGCTCCGCTCACCAACCCCCATATGACCATTATTTTGAACCACGTGGCCCTTATACCCTTTATTTTGACCCTCATGACCGTTATTCTGACCCTCACGACCATTGTTTTGACCCCCGTGACCCTTATGACCGTTATTCTGACCCTCATTGCCATTATTTTGGTCCCCGTGACCTCTATGACCTTTAAAATCTACAACCAAATGAAATTTTCAATGGAATTTCCATAGAGTCTTCGGACATTTTTTAATAAATGCGTTAAATGTTGCATTGAATTTTTCAATCCGCGTAACATAGGATTTCGTTAAATTCTATTTTTGATCTACATGAACTCCCTACACTCAACATCGTGTAACCCCCACCAGTGTCCCGTGATTTGCCTCCCTTTTTTTAAAACCCCGAGTATACACACCGAGCCACAACTGTACATTCACCATTCATTATACTTTTATGGAAATTTATGGAAATGTGGCGCAGCCTCGCGGAAGCTTTCAGTGGCAGTTCTCTCATACGAGGGAAATTGTTTACAGTGCGTGTTGTCTGGGAAAGCATAATACCATAAGTATTTGCAGAAAAAATTGTGAAACTCTCTGTGACGCGGATTGCTCATTGATTTCCAGACGTTAACATTAATTTTTTGAGAAATTATTATTTAAAAAATGAATCAGCAGCTAGTGAAATTGTAGTGAAAGCGTTCGTCGCAGTTATTTTTTCGTCTCAATTTTTTGTATGAAGACCAGCGACATTTGAAATATTTCAAATCGACGCAAATCTCTTGATTTCGTAAAATCAAAAGATTCCTAATTTAAATCCGCGGCAAAAAATATAAATTTTCCTTGAATTCTCAATCGAATGTAATTTACAAAAATTACTCCGAAATGTTGTTCATTAATTTTTTCCATTGAACACTCAACGAACACTTTTCCGTGTTTATTATTCCACTTTTAGCCATTCAATGAATCATTTTTTCTCACGTACAATACTTGACAAGGGCGTACCTGCAGAGGGCACTTGCAGCTAGGGCACGGAGGTGGCTCAACCCACTCATAAGGCGACATTCTCGCGACAATCCATATAGTAACGGACACCATAAGATAGGCGCCCAGCATTGACAACCAAATCTCCACGGCAAGGGGATTCATGAACGAGAAGAGTCTACTGGGTGGACGTTTAGCCACCTGAAGCATTCATTTTTATTTCCACTCAGGATAATTTTCAAAGAAATAAAAAGAAGTGAAATATAATCCAGAAATTTTTCTGCTCCGTTCTCTCCGGCGTTTTTGCCTCGTACGCGCTAAAACTTTCGGGGAGGATTTAGGGAGGGAGGGAGTTGGAGAAAATTCAAGGAGTGCAAGGGATAATTTCGGTTCTGGAATAATATACCTTTGGATTTAAGCCGCTTCCCTGGCGCAAAAACGTGCCTGTGATGAACCAAAAACTGTTGCTGACACTGAATTGATTCTCAACGACTTCACTCTCAGCCAAGCACGGGTGTGGATTATTCCATTCGTATGGGCTAAATCGCGCCATTACGAATAGGGTAAAACTTACGAGCATGTACGCCGCTAGAACGTATAGCCATATTTCAACGGCGAGGGGATTCATGAAGGAGAATAGACGGGTTGGCTGGCTGGATGGTACCTAAATGAGTTTAGGCTACAATTTTAATTAAAATCGCCTCATTTTGAGGTGTCGGTGAGCTCTCGGTGACAATGGGGCATTTTTTTTATTCGATATTCAGTGAGAGAATGAACTTTTCCAATTTTCAAGGGATTATCAATATTTTTTTTTGCATTTGGTTGAGATGAAACTATCTATTTGATTTTTTTCATATTCATTTCAACAATATTTTTTTGTTAAAAATTGATATATGAAGCTTTTTTAATTCAAGTGAAATATTTCTCTGGGAATTTCATTGAAAAATCAGGAGCGAAAAACCACTGAATATCAACGACAAGATAATTTAAATAAGAGAGATTTTGGTAAATGTCAGTGAAATTTAATAATTAAAAAAATTTTAATTTAAATTATAATGATCAAATATTGAACATTTAAATTGGAATTATAATTTTTAAATTATAATTTGACAATTTTCAGTGAAATTTAATTTTAAAAAAGACTCAATATCATGTTTTCGCGAAAAAATTAAACTTTTTCCTCTCTGCGTGAATTAAATGGACTTCATTCGTCCCCTTTATTTTCGGTTTCCCATTGTAATCGGAGTATTTTTACCATGATGATGAAAACCAATATTATTCGAAATTGAAACGATAATATCCAGCTATACGCGTGAATTTTCAATTTTAAACCCCATCCTCTTCTCGTATTTTTAATATTTTTGAATTAACAAAATGAATTATCAACAAGGGAAAAAATTTTAACGACTCACCTTAAAGAGAATTCCAATCCCAAGGTTCATGAAGGGTTTCGTAAAGTCGATTACACTCTCCCTTGCATAATTAATGGTCATGGAAGCCACAGCTAAATCTGCTCTCTGGAAAAAAATGAAAGGGTCATGAACAAGGGAATTTTCCTCCGGTGATGACAAAATTCGGGAGATTCTCTTCAAGGTTATGTACAGGACGGGGTGAAAGCGAGGGTCTTATAAAAGATTCGTTGCAATCATCCTGGGTGTACTTGGAGCCGGCAGGATGTTGCCTCATTCACCCCTAAATCTTCAGTCTAGAAAATGTTGAGGTGAAGCCCCCAATGCCTGTGGATGGGTGTATTAAAAATTCATGCGGTATTTTGCAAGACAAACGTTTGCTCAACTTTCGAGGGCGAACGAGTGGCTCGAGGGAGAGAAATAACGAGGGAAATTGGGCCAGAAATTTACGCGATGAGGAAATCTCGGGAATGTCACTTTTGCATGGTAATTCAACATTTATTTCGATGACGTGAGTGAGTCAAAGTGTTTTCATTTAAGGATATCTAAATATCTTTCGCAGTTTGGTACAGATCACAGAGATCATTTTCAATCATCAAATTTGTCAATTAAATCGCGTGAGAAAATTGGAAAATAGTTATGAAAATTCAACAGGATTATTAAATCGTCATTTCAATGACATTTTGCACAGAATTATTTTTTTAAAGATTCGTTGTTTATGAATGAATAATTGGAATTGTTTAAACTTTCGGTAAATTTATTTTTTCCTTATTTTTTCGGTAAACTTATAAATATTCTCAAATAAAATTATTGTAAAATGTCCGGAAACTTAGGGAAAAGTGGGACTCAAATAAAAGCTCTGATGTTCGACTACAAAAGTAAAAAAACATTTTATTGAATAAAAAAAATACTTGGATATCCTCAAGACATTAAGACACAAACATCTTAAAAAGGGGAAAAACGTATTTTAATTTCATTATTATTCCATAACGAAACAATAATTATTCAGTAATTTAAGCAATCCATTCTTCCAAATGAAGCCATGAAACCCCCAAAAAACATCGCAACGAACGTCAGGGAATTTTAATAATCGTACGTTCTCAAATTCAAATCCAGCCCAGAAATATCCGGGGTAACATCTGTACAACTTTATGAATCGCATTTTTCTCCAGTATTCAGTTGACCGGAAAAAAGAGAATGGAGTCTGAAAAAAACTGATGCATTGAATTCATGCCCCATCCTCGATGGTATTCCCGCCGAGAGCAGCATTCATTCCATATTCACATTTAATAGACTTATCACGGTCGCATGAAGTCGCGCTAGAAATTAGATTTTCGGTGCGAAAGAGTGAATATATTTTTTTTTTCATCCACCTTTTCCATTAATTCCCGAACAATTCCATTCCACTCTTTGGTCTCTGGATCGTACACTCCATACATGTGATCAGGAACAAGCCGAATGGCGTACTGAAAGCCCACTTGTCCGGCAATCCATTTTAGCAAGTCAATGCAAAATCCCTCGAATCTCGCATTTCCAGTTAAATTTTTGTCCTCTTTCACCATGACGTACGGTCTCTCCTGCGATAAAAGTGAATATTCATGATTAAAATATTCGCTGAGTGAAATATTAATCAATAATAAACGACAATTTCAATTATCAGACGAAAACAAAATTTATGAACTCAATTTCGAATGAGAGGAATGGGACTAACACAGTCATTATGTGATATTAAATTAATCCCACACACGCTTTAATGATCCACAAAGTCTCTTTGGTGCAATATCAACAGAATGGAATTGCAAGCGTAATTAATGAGCATCCGGAGTGAGTAGTTACCTCGCGGGTCATGACAACTAGCGTTATATTCGTTGCTGTTGTCTCGTAGAAAGCGTTGACGTCCGTGACATTGACCCCCTGCCCTGGTCGCCACTCGCCCACCTTCACTAGCTCCTCTTTTTTCAACTTCAAAAGATCGAGTTTGAAGTTGTTGCGCTTACCCTCGTTGAATTCTATGTGGCCCGTTAAGCCGTGAATTCCCGCCTGGAACAGATGAATGAAAATCGTGAAATGAAGAGTTATGACTTGAAAAGAAATCATCCCGTTGTGTTCTGATGTTTCACCAACATTTTTGGAGAATATTTGTCCTTTATCGCGGATCAAATGCAGTTACTTAACCTACTGTTACCGACTGAGTACGACCGGTGCCACCACGAGGGATTCCCCTATTTCCTTGGTAGACTAGGCTAACCTCTTCACTCATTCATGAAACGCGTTCATCAGAAGGGAATAAAATCCGCGAAGGGAATCATCAATCACCGACTGATTTCGCCTAGTTAGAGTTACTAGTGCAATTAAATTTCATCCAGCGAGTATTGCCAGCTGACGTAAATGTATAAATAAATGTCAACATGTTCATAATGCTATTAACTGCTGAAAATTCCTCATACCCGAAGACATCAGTGGTAACCAACACATCCCAATTTTCCGGTGAATTCATTCTGGGCGGATTCAAGCGTTAATTACCTCTGGGATGACACTATACCCTGAAATTCCCAGTCGAGTAACCCTCCCACTGATTCCCCTCATCTACATTCCACCATTGCCTCATGAACACGCCAATGTGGAGTGAATTATGTTCAAAGCCATGTGCATAAATTCGTTTGCGCGCAGCGCTCAGTTACAGAGGTCCTCTCGCAAATGTTGTTTATGATGATTTCAGTCTGATAGACCAAAGTACCAGCAGAAATATCTAAAATCTCGCGTTCCACGTTTCATGACTGTGGATACTGGAGATGCAGTGTGCATTCACCACTTCACCGTTGCATTTGTACGTTGGATTCCCGCTTTGAAGAACTCTGGACAGTACAAACTCACCTCTCAATGGAGTGCATTACTTCGAGTGTTTCGTACCTGAACTTGTAATCAATTCATTACCACAAATTCGGGCTGGTGGAGCTGTTGATGCTGATGCATTATTCGTTTCTTCGCTCGAACACAGTTTAGGGGTTTTACCACTTGATTTACACCGAGCGAATGCACCCTCAATGGTTGGAACAGCTATGGAAGCTATGGAATTTCTCCTGAGGAGTAATTCCGCTTCGCTGTTTGCTAACGACGACTTCGCAAAAATTTAGAATCAATTATTTACTCATGTATTCAGCTATTAGTTGTGAGGTGTTGCCCATGTTTGCAGTCTGTTTATCAAACCGTCTGTCTCTCACCCGTAGATATTCCTTACTCGTCTCTCCAACTCTTGATCATTGCGCAAACTTGGAAACTCATGCATTCGCAGAATTTTTTCCTCAACTCAGTGGAGTTAATGAACTTTCTCACGTTGTTCAGTCTTCTATCCTGCATCACCATTTGCTTTCTAGGAAAAAATGTTGGAGGAACTTCAATATTCTCAGCAGTGAGTTGCTCCAACTTCCGGCTGGCAGCTGCGAATCGGGAAAGTACAAGACGCCCCCGTTGCCGATGAGAAAGACGCGTCGTTGCCATTCGTCGTGGTCCATAGTCTACCCAATTTCCTTAGTTCTGTGATGTATCCTCTTCCCTCTCTCTCCCTCTCTGTGTTTTTTTCATTCATTTATTTTATGGCTAACGTTGCTTCATTGTCTCCCTTCTTGGAGCTACTGATAAAAGTTCCAAGTTTTTGAATTGTTTTGGTGAAGAAAAATAAATTTCTTGGCGGTGTTTGCGTAATTGAGAAAAGTGAGGAAATGTCACTTCATGAAAACTAATTTTTCCAAGAAGTAATTTTATCATAAGTCGCAGTGGGGAATTTCTTCTGATGAAAAGGAAATGTTTGAAATCTTTGAATGAAGGCAATTTAATCTTCGTGTAATTGGACATTGATTATTCGATGAAAATTTACGCAAAGCCTCGTCTCAATCAATAGATATTTTTTATGCCTGAAAAATGTCTACAAAAGGTTTGTGAAATTCAGATATGCGTTTTTTGCGGATTCATCCGCAAAATCAATTGAAACTTCTTTTAACAATAGCCCACGTAAACTAACAAATTAACAAAACATCGAATTGCATAAGTTCCATGAAATAGGCCAACGCCATATCTCTGTCCATCTGTTGGATCATGGTTAAAAATATGGAATCGGACTCCAAGGTTTCTCGGCGTGTATCTTTGAAAATAGAACCACAACATGTGTCTCGCCAAATTCTGGCTTCGGTTTCTGGATTTTCGACTGCAGCCGTCAGTCTGAATTTTGAGGCCGAACTGAGCGTTTCGCGGGCAAAAAGTTACGATGAAAGTCCTCATATTGATGGGTATTATCGCTCTTCCCTTCACTCTGGGTTAGTACACCACCAAATTACCACACACTGTTAGAAAATTGCTCTTTAAAGTTCAAGAGAACTTTTAAATTTTTAACAACGAATAATTTGCATGGAATTTCCATTGATCTTATTATTCATAAATAAGTCAATTTACCTGAATATTCCAGAAAATTTCATTTCTCAGGCTCAAAACTAAAACTTAATTTTATTGAATTACCAAGATGAATCCGGAATTCCATGAGCAGTTGCGTTTTTGAGGAATATTTCCGAATCTAAAGGAGACAGCGAAATTTGCATAATTACATTTGTTGCAGCTCTCAATCGGCTCTACAAAAAATATTATAATGAGAATTTTCCTATCTCCCTTAGATTCCGAGATATTCATCGAAAACTGGTCAATGAAAGTGAAAATTGACTTGTACCGTTTTACCACTTCTCTACTGAATTGAATTCACGTTCAGAATATTCAGAATTCAACTGCATCTGTTACTTGAATTTCAAAAAATGCTAACAGTGCATCTCTCCGCGTTTGTTATCGTTGTACTCTCCACAGGGGACAGTGTGAAATGCTACGACGGTGTCGATTGCAAACATCCGTGCAGGGCTATACCCAATAGAGAAGTCTTCTGCACCTCTCAGTGCTTGAAAGTAGACTTCGAAATGTGTGAGTTGATACTTCCCGCCTATCCGGTGACAATATTCTGAATCTGCTTAGACGGCTCTTCGAATTACAGCTGATAAGAGTGTGGCTACTGCGCGCAAATGCGGTGCTACTTACTTGGGCAATCAGGGTCCAGCATTTTCCCTGTTCAATTTAACGTCGTATGCACCAGGAGCCAAGGCCATACCCGAAATAACCGCTGGGCATGTGTACTTGTGCAAGAAAAATCTGTGCAATGGAGCGGAGTCGAGCGTATCAACATCTTTACTGTTGACCTTCGTTGTCATGGCTCTGGTTGGAGTCTATCGGAATGCGCTTTCATAATTTATCTATTGTTTACACTGAAAATTGCCTCGGTAAAGGAACACTGTTGAAATATTTTTGAAATTTCCTGGAAGATGTTACAGTAAATCTCATGGGAGGGACATTTAACCGGATTTTGGGAAAAAAGGGTTATGAAATTTGATGGTCTAAGTAGAATTCACACAATTTCATGGGTTTTCAGTGGAACATGAATATTCAGAAACAAAATAACGTGAATTTTCAATTTTTCCCTGAATTTTCCCGATTTTTATGAGTTTTTGCAGAATAATTGAACTGAAAAATCAAGTATTTTATTTATTTTCAGATCATTTGAACAGAAAATTGATGGAATATTTGATTTGTTTAATGACCGGATCTGCTGAAATTTCAGTGGAACTGGACCACGATAAAAATTTCCGAAATTTGGCGGTGAAAATTCAGACGAAAATTTTTAACAGTGTACTTAAATTGGGATTGGTGGGGGGGGGGGGGAGAGGGTTGACATGTTTTGAAATATCGCAGGCTCTCCGAGAGTTTTGAATATCAATTTGTACTTTTCTTCAAGTGTACATTATTAAAAGTAAAAATCGAATTGATTCAATTGGTCGCATTATTCGGTGGTCGGAGTATTTTTCCCCATTGAGAAATTCCTGGAAATCTTTTCCCCTCACTAATTGAGAATTTTTTCCAGAGTTATTTCCCCGTTGAAAATTGTCCGCATTTTTTTTTTCCTGAAATTTTTCCCTCCAAGAATTCTTCCCTTTGAAATTAATTTTCCTTACTATTTTTTTTTGTGCGTGAGCGAGCAACAAGTGACTGGTTACTGCGATCCGATGTTTTGTAACGTCGTTTGAATTCTTCGATTTCTTGTCGCTTCCAGGAGTATCATTACTCCATAAATTATTTTTATTTATTCAGTTGACTTGACATTCGTCGTTGGAAAATATTTTCGAACGCGGGAAACTCGTTCTGCTGAGGAAAATGTGATGAAATGTGTGAATTCTCTAGTTCAGGAATGATTATAATGTTTTTCTAATGATGAGAGTAATTGTTAATATCATTATTCACTTTTCAATGAGATAGTAATGCGAAGTTCATCGATTCTTTAACGATTTTAATTTACATATCTGAGGGCAGTGATATAAAAATAAACAAATAAAATTCCACATTTTTTAATCGGTAAATCACTAAATTGAACGCAACTCGTTATTTGAAATTGAAATATTCCAATTGTATAAAATACCTAATGCATTCATTGCAAATAAAGAATTATTACCTGTTGAGTTGTGTTACATTCAATAAAGATTAATTGATTGTTCGAATATGTGTTTGATTTAATATTTTCCAGGGATTTTTTTCCGGTGGATTTTTCACAGGGAAAAAAATCCTAGAATCAAAGTTTAAATTTTAGTGGAAATTTAATGGAATTTAAAATTTTGTTGTGGAAGACGAGAATCCCGCAATTTATTTCAATTATGCTAAATGACTAATTAATTGAGAACTCAGAAAAAATATATTTATCCAAACTTTCCTGATTTCTGTGAATTTTCATGGAACGATGGAACTAAAATCTGCAGTCTCCATCAATTTTTACATGAAATTGTGAATTTCTTATGCGGTGACACTTTCCAAGATCGAAACCGGACATTTTTTGATAGTGTACTTACCTCAGGGCAAATTAACGGATTGGTGACCGCTGATAGGTAATCTACGTCTTTAACCAGAGTATGCGTTGCTCTATTGATTATTTACTTAAACCGTTGAGTGAGCGAGCAACAAGTGATTGATATTTTCGAACTTGGGAAACTCGCACTGTTGTTTCCCTTAGGAATGATGCTAATGATTTTTTAATGATCAGAATAGTTATCAATATCATTCCTCACTTTCTAATAAAATAGTAATGCGAAGTTTGTTGATTTTTTATTGATTACATCATACTCGATTTAGGGGAAAAAACAGTGATATTTTGACATTTTTTTACGAGAAGGAAGATGCGAATTTCATTGCATGTGAGCAGATTTTTTCCTGTTAGTCAAAATTCCCCGAAAATAATTCTCCTGAATGATTTTGTCTGGAATTCAAAAGTTTTCGATTAAAAGTGTTGAAAAATAACTGAAATTTTCAAAATAACTTCTGTGTTTGTCGGAATATATTGATATAATCGGCAGCCTAATGACCATCCACGTGTGCTGTTTATCAGTTCTCAAGCACAATTCTTTCAGTATAATTTTGGGCGCCGAACTGAAAGGTTATCTCTAGCATTCCTCGTTATTCCAGAAGCAATCATGAAAGTTCACCTATTACTTGCGGTGATTGCGGTGTCCGTCACGCTAGGTTAGTACGATTTCAATGCATTCATCCATCATTCACAAACTATTTTTCATCATCTCTATAAACTTTCGGTTATTATTTTGTAGGCCAGAGTTTGAAATGTTATTATTCACTGGAAAGCAAAGGCCTGAGGACAGCTAGAACTGAAATATCTTGCGACACTGAATGCGTAACAACCGTGGCCACAACGGGTAAATTAATTAATAACAAATTGTAATTTACAATAATTTTAAAATCCAGATAAATGCGAAAGAACATTCAGAAAATTTCAAAGAATTTCATCATTGGAAATTCATAATTTTATGTGAAAATCGATGGAAAGAGGAAATTTCAGTTCAATTGCTGAGAATTAAACACAAGTCAGGAAAATTCGAGTAAATTGTGCACACTTTAAAATAGTTTATTTGAATCAAATCAACTTCATTTCAATCGAATAAATCGTCTTTCGGTTTACGCGGTTTTGATAAACAAGGAAAACGGAAACGGCAATTTAATGGTCTTGTTCATAAAGGGATAAAAATGAGAAAATAAGAAAAAAAAAATTAAACATATTAAAATATTAAAAATTGATAAAAATAATAAATAATAAAATAATAAATTTGAAAGTAATAAAAAATGAGACGGCGCGGGTCTTGGATAAATTTAGAAACCACGTGTGAGTGAATGTTCCGGGGAAGCGAGTAATATAATGACGAGCGAAGTGACGAAAACCTTCTAACCCACGTACGAAAAAACGAATGGGCCGAGCTTGGCCCAAGCCCGGTGGCCGGCCTGCCGAACTTCGGGACCCGTTCCTCAACCGGGACCGCGCCGGACGTGGACTAAACTGTAGTTGAATCACTTAATATTTCTATCAACTGAATAATAAAACATTCAAGTCGAAAAAAATCGAGATGGAATTAATATGGAAGATTTGAAGTAGAGGTTTTACGAATTGCGCGGTAGACTAGTGGTTAGGGCGTCGGATTAGTAGTCGTGAGGTCGTGGGTTCGAGCCCACCTTAGGGGGTAATATTTTAAGTTACAAAATCGGTTTTTCAGCGATGATTGCGTTAGGGTTTGGTAGGTAGGGCACAATGAATACTAAAAATCATCCTAAAAAATGTTAATTATTTTGTTTTTGATATTATTGATAATTGCCATGAACAGTTTGGCAGCCAGTGCGGCACCAGTCGCATACCGGTATTGACTTTTTTTCCTCGTTGAACCTATTACGAATGCTGAGGAGTAATATTAAATTACTTGTATTTCAATCACCCATATTATCATATTCATGTAATTAAGTAATGTTTAATTGAGCCTGGCCAACGACTGGCAATCAACGCTGGGCCGAGATGGGCGCCCAGACCTGGCCCGATGTTATCATTCCAGGTTTCAACCAAGTCCGGCGCGGTCCCGGTTGAGGAACGGGTCCCGAAGTTCGGCAGGCCGGCCACCGGGCTTGGGCCAAGCTCGGCCCATTCGTTTTTTCGTACGTGGGTAACCCTTAAAGTTACACCAACGGCTGGAGCCCAATAACCAAGCTCCGGGCCACCGCTGGCTGAGGCTTGGTTATCGAGCTCCGGCATGCCAGTGTCCGGCCAAGGCTGGGCCAGATCTGTCAACCAAGGCTCGGTTACCTGCCCTTCTCCCGAGACTCAAGCCCTGGTCCCCAGGGATGGCCGAACCTCGGTCCAAGCCTGGGCGCCCAGGCTTGGCAAGCCCAGGCTTGTGCCAGGCTTGGCCCGTTTCTCCAACACTGGCATTTCGTACGTGGGAATCACTTGATAATATCAAATTCCAAATATTCTCCCATATCAATAACGTCATTTCCTTTGAACTTTAGACGATGGAATTCAGCTGCGCATACGTGCATGCCTTGACATGTACGAACAATTAACAGAGCCTGTGTTTCTGACTCAACTGTCACCGAGACAACAGGAGTTCATAGAAACCCTATCATTTGGGAGAATACGCAAGTGCAGCGAAGACCTCTGCAATAAAGATTATTGAATCCTTTCTCCAGTTACACCTTCGTCACCCGCGTCGTCGATACCGTGCGAGTGAAATTCCTTTTTTAGTATAACTTCCGAAAAAATTCTATAAATTCCGTATATTTAATTCTAAAAAAGTTGTCAACTCTTCATGCAGTTTTATTTACCAAAGAATTAGATAAGAATATAATATGAGGTATCATGGAAAATCCAAGGAAAACACAAACTATCGGTTAAAGACATGAAATTATCATACATCGCATAAAAAATATTTAATCAGACGCACTTGACTCATTTTAAAATCTATGTAACCGAATGTAACTGATTTAAATCGAATAAATCTCGTTACTTGAAATTTTCTAGTCAATACCATTATTTGTTGGTAGTTAATCAACTTAAATATTAAATATTATCTTATTAAAATCGTTCAATTGTATAAAATAACAAATCCATTCATTCCAAATGAAAAATTATTACATGCTTATAAATTCGTTCGCTTGACATGAGCTCTCTGACCTTCTGCAAATTCCGTGTATTTAATTCTAAAAAAGTTGTCAACTCTTGAAGCTGTTTCATTTCCGAAGGAACTAGATAAGAAAATAATACGAGCCATCGTGGAAAATCCAAGGAAAACTCAAACTATCGGTTAAAGACATGAAATTATCATACATCGCATAAAAAAATTTAATCTGACGCACTCGACTCATTCTAACCAGCTTATCGAGCCGGAAGGTCCCGATTCAGATAGTGTTTTTCCGAGAGTGTAGTGATGTTATACTGCTTAATCCATACCCCACTTGCCACCGCCCCCCCCCCCCNCCCCCCCCCCCCCCCCCCCCGCCCCTCGTTGGCAGAGGAAGCTGATTCCTTTTAGTGTCGCTTGGGAACCCGGACAGTAAGGATCTCCATATTCCTCTTCACCAAAGAAGCAGTCATGAGAGTTTTGCTAGCGCTCGGTGTCATTCTGATGTCCCTCGCGCTTGGTCAGTATAATTCAAATGTATTCACACAATATTCGAATTGTTCACTATTTTCAATCGATCACGGACACTCCCTCTTCTCTCTGTAGGTCAAGCGACGAAATGTTACTTCTCTGTTGAATCCAAATACATGAACACAGCGAGATTCGAAGTACCGTGTACATCGCAATGTGGAAAATCATCGGCACCACTGCGTAAGTTGATTAATCAGTCAATTAATTAAGTAGCGAAGTGGGAAAAGAAGATGAGTCAATTTTGACAAGTCAGTTGACCAGTTTTCAATCAATATCTCGGAATCTAAGGGAGATAGCGAAATTTTCGTAACTACATTTGTTGTAGCACTCAATTAGCTCCACAAAAAAGGTTATAACAAAAATTTCGCTATCTCCCTTAGATTCCGAGATATTTGAAAACTGGTTAATAGTCAAAATTGACTTATCTCCTTTTACGACTTCGAGCGAAAAATTGATGAGTGAAATTCTCACTGGGTGTTCTCATCAACTTTCCAGCCGACGGAAGTGAAATGACAATGCGTGCATGCGTTGACACCTTCGCGCAAATGTCATCGCCAGCTGTTTTGAACAAACTACCACCCGAGCAGAGGGTGAATTTAGAAGGCGTGACCTTCGGGGAAATACACTCGTGCAGTGGAGAGCTTTGCAACGGGGCGCATTCGATCCTATCGGGATCCCTACTATCACTGTGCATCGGTATCATCGTCGCCCTAGTCGCAATCAATTGAAGTCATTCAATGTTAAATACGATTGTTTTTCACGGCTTGTAGTTCAATTTGCCAATGTGTCAATCGGCCGCCGATTTCTAAGTGTACTTCTAAAAATAGCCATGTGATATTACGTCCGCCATCCACTTTTCTTGCTGTGATCTACGAATCGCTAATGCGCACAGATATCCATCTTGCATTTTAACAATGATCAGCAATCATTTTGGGATAATGCGAGGTTTCGCGAATTGAAGTTACGATAACAATATTTCTGTAGATCTATATATTTTCAATATACTAATCTTACAGATAACGTCTCCGTCTTTTTCTTGACCTACAGCTGAGTATTGATCTCCTGATGCAGTGTGCCAACATTTCACTGCTCTTTTCAAACATCATCGACAATTTTTGATTCATTCCGATGAAGAAATCGCAGCTGAATGAATACTTTGACAAACTTTGCCAGATTTGTTTTAGAAAATTGATTAGTGGCGTTTACTTGGCAATCAACTGCATCCTTGAACTTGCATTGGTTTTTTCCTCATTCCACGGCCCAAGGTTTTCTCACATTTCTGCATTTTGTGTCATGCGTGCGCAGTGGGTTTTCTAATGGCGCCAGAATACATAGACAAATTCCCCTACTCCGCTCGCACAGACGTGGTTCAAGGCTTTTGGCCATGGAATGGGTTATACGCGTCATCACCTCCTACGTCTCTGTGTATTTGTCTCTAGTAATAGAATCATGCAGTTGAATTTCATCTGCGATCGAATCAGCCCCTCCCAAATTTCCGCGGGGATCGATCCCCGCAGTTTCAGTTTGGAAATCGAACCGGAGGAATCTACTCGTTATGAGAATCGCACTGGTAATTGCGGTCGTCCTTCACTGAGAAAAAAATATAATTCTCAATCAAATTTGTTTCGAACAACCAAATGCCCGAAATTCCCATACGAAATCTGGCTTTAAATTCTTGTCAGAAGAATATTTGATTGGCAGAATTATATTTTTTTCTCACTGAATTCTTCCTTTGGCACTCGGTGAGCATCTCTTTATCATTCATTGCATAAGCGAATATTTTAGCTTCATCACCTTTGATTGATGTCTCCTCGCTCTGTCGATAGGTGATAATTTGAAATGCTACTTTTCCGTGGAGTCGGAGGAGAGAACACCGAGAGAATTCCAGTGCCTTGCTCGTCTGATTGCGCTAAAGGCGAGGCGCCGTTGCGTAAGTTGATTAATTAATGCTGTGACACATTATTTACATTAGACGCAGCGAAACTTCGTTGTTTACCCATTTCAAAGTGCCTCATGTAAAATGGGATTGGATTTCTATTGAACTTTGCGTTAGTGTTTGGCCGATTCTGGCAATTGAAGTGTTCACTGGAAAATATTTTACGGAAAAAATTATTAGAATTAGATTTTTCAATGCAGCGCAGTTTAATGAGATATTCTCGATAGAAATTCCTCAGCTCAACTTTTTTGAGCTTTTCGTTTGATTTTTTAATTGGAAAAAAAATAGAGTAGAAAAAATAAAATTCTACTGATTTTTTTGTAAAATAATTCCCATTTATTTTTTATGAAAAAAAAATTTTCCCTTAGAATTCAAGATTCTTCAACAGAATGAGCGAAGAACTAATCAAATTTTCAATAAAAGAAGTTTCCATCAAATTTTCTCGGACGCATTTTTTCACACGCGCCCCAAATAATTAAACATCTCAGTAAATAACAAGAAAAGTCATAAATTTTTTCGGATATTAAACTTCGCACCTGAATAATACAAAGTCACGTGCCAGAACCGTATTGATACTTGTCAGATCGAAACCTGATCCCCGAACAGCTATTGTAAAGGAAAAATTCCGATGATAGCATGCGATTACGTGAGCCCAGATGGTCGTTATTATGCGACCAATTTATTTCCATAATCAACTGAATACGACAAAATTTTCTTCCGACAAGATCACGCGGTCACGTTCTATCATTCTCGTAATAATTCATAGTAATTCATCCAAATGTTTCAATTCCAGCTGATGGAAACGTGATGACGATGCGTGGATGCCACGACATGTTCTCTGAATTATTCGCGCACTTTAGTTTAGGAATAATGACAGAGGGGCAAAAGGCGGCTCTGGAAGGATTAACATCTGACAAAATACACCTGTGTAAGGAAGACTTTTGCAACGCAACCCCTTCAGTCGCATCAGCATGCTTACTGTTGGTCTACGATCGCCGCTATCGCGATTTATTGAGATCCATTTTAGTGCTAGATCAACTGTAAAATACTCATGAATTATTTTAATACATTGAGCTAATGAAATTGACGAGGTAGATTTGGTCGTTCATTTGCCGCTTGCACTTTTGGTTAAGAATACGTATATGACTTGGATTTCTAAGTATTCGCTCCTAAAAATAGTCTAACGAGATCGTGCTCCATCTGCTTTTGCCACTGAGCTTTCTGCATTGCGAACCATTGCCACGTTGTCAGTCGCAATTTGGCCTAAGCTCGAGATGTCACTGATGCGGGATCTCGGAATCGGAAGTCAATTCAATCGATCAATGCAACTATTTTTAGTGATTAGTGTTGTGGTTTTTCCCTACGCCCTCGGTTAGTATATTTCAAATATGCAGTAGAATAATTTGCGCTAATTTTTTGTGACTTTCGGATAATTATTTATGTTTTTTTGTCGACTTGTAGGAGAACATGTTCAATGTTACGCCAATGTGGAGTCGACGAATATAACTACGCCGAAATCGTTCGTTCATTGCATATCTCAGTGTGGAAAAGCTGACGTTCATCTGTGTAAGTTGATTCAAAAGAGATTATTCTTGTCTTTGAGTGTATTGATGCCCTAGAAAAAACAACTGGGTTCTTCACTATTATTCTTTGAGGCTATTATTAGGTGAAGGTATGTAGATAACGACTAATTGAAGACTCGGTGTGAAGAAATTTGTTACAGAAATTTAGTCTCTGTTGGAACTCCATAACGTTTTTATCGAAATTCGCTTGTAAAATCTATTTTCCAATGTTTATTGGAAATATTTGATGAGAAATTTCAATGGATTTGTACTTTGAGTGCCAAAAAACTCACAAATTTTCATGCTTTCTCTCATATTTCTTCCCTTCATTTCAAATAAAAGTGTCTGAACCACAATTTAACACTCAATGTACACTTTTCCATTAAATTTTTCTGTGTATGACAGAACGATCTAAATTCTAATATCATTTGCAACTTTCAGCCGATGGCAGCTACGTCATTGTGCGATCATGCGGTGAATTCTTCGCGGATATGCCGTCATTACTATCACGCCCTGATTTGAGAACATTATCACAGGATGCGAAGACAGCTTTATCTCGAATGTCATCCAGAGATTTGCACCTCTGCAAGAAGAACCTCTGCAACGAAGCACATTTGAGCGTTTCGCCTTCGTGGTTGGTGGCTATGACAATCATTGCTGCTGTCATTGGAATGGGCAACTAACTTCGACAGGACTGAATGCCACAAAAAATTTGACCAATTGTAAATACTGACAGGTTTTTGAAATATATTCATTTGGAAGAATTCTTTTAGTATTTCACTGTTAGACGACCTTCGATCACTGAAAGCAGACAGACTCCTCACGGTCACCGGAAAGTCTTTCCACAGATGTCAATAGACGGACTGCTTTATTTATCTACTTCCCTTTTATACTCACATCCGGTGATGCTGATACCGGGAGGAACAACGTGAACAGTTCCGTTAATTGCAGTCATTAATCTGTTTCACAGCACCAACTTGTGCTGTTTGATGGAATTGCCACTAAATTTCAATCTTAATTTATGTTCCTGGCGACCACAAAATGATGTATTCTGGCAGGAAATCTACTCCTGATACTATACACTGCTGTACTTTGATCTTGAATGACATCAGAGGAAACGCTTTACTTCTAAAGATTTTTAATCAATTCACATTCACGACCTGCCCTCATCTCGCGGAATCGTCTCGGGAATACAGTGGGATCCCTTGACATTGACGCATCATCATTGGAGCGATGTATTGAATCACTAACACATGTCAATATAATATACCACACGTACGCAGACACTACAATGGAGCGCATTTGACCGTCACATCTCATTGTTGCCCGATGCCAGCCTCATTGCTTCCGTAATTAGAATCAATCGGAAGTTATTGTCGATAAATTGAATGGAATGATCTCGAAAATTGTTAGAGCGTCAGTCCCTCAGATCCATGAGTACAAATATGATAAATGCAACATAAAACATCAGAGAATGCGAATTTCATCAATTTCCAATCGATTTCATCAATCGGAAAATAAATTAATTTTGATTTTGACGCAAAAAATATTCTGGTATTTTTTCTTTCGCAGAAAACGACAGAAAATTGATAGAATTTGGAATAGTATTCCTCGATTTTTTCATTCATCCATCGGATGTGTTTGTGCATTTGTAATTAAGCACTTCAAGTTTTAAGTCGACACGCAAACCGTAACCTGTTTTCATCTTTTCCTTTTTCATTCCGCTTGCCATTACCATCTCATCATCGATTGAGGAAAATCTGTTTTTCCTCCGCAAATACCAAGATTGTTTCCCAGAAATTTATGAGTGAGATGTTATCACATTGACATCTCGTACAATTTCCAGATTGGCAAAGCATGATAATTCATTTTCTACAGTTCCTGGAGTTTCAACTACTGCTCCAACCCTCCGCGTTCGCTTCTACGGTTGTGATCAATCGAAACCTGACTCATTGTGTATTCCCTGTACCCCAATAGATTACGTCGGATAATAAAACTTGAAAGCTCTCCATTTTTCCGGAGCAACGGCATAGGGATTATCTCATTAGTCCTCTCAGCCCTTGTTTAACGTAGCCGATAACAGAAATCGATGGTGCTTTATCGGAGTTGTTCATTGCAGGAGAACATTCTGAGCACAATACATTAGTAAAGTGTAGGTACAGTTTTTGACGAACCACTGAGGTCGTGACATCGTACTTCTCGAGCGAGAATTGCCGGAAGCAGAAGACAGAATGAAGGTTTTGTTGGTCGTCGGTTTGGTTGCGCTTCCCTTCGCTATCGGTGAGGATTCAGTCGGAGGGATGACCCTTTCGCATCTGTTCCTTGCAAATTTTATTGGAGGTGAATTTTTTTAGGGGGCAATTTCACGTGCCATCATTGCCGCGGATGTGGAGACCCCTTCAATGCAGAATCTGTCAAGTCGGAGGTCTGCGATTCCGCGTGCGTGAAAACAGTCATTGTGGCCAGTAAGTACATCTGTTAGTGGACTATTTTAGTCGCGTCGTAGTTTAGGTGAAGGTTGAAGGAAGTTCATTGGAAAATCTACGAAAACTGTAAATTTCAGGTCAATTCAGCAGCGAAGTGGTGAAACGGTTCAAGTCGTCTTGTCTCCCAGTTGTATTTTTGAGGAATATTTCCGAATCCAAGGGAGATAGCAAAATTTTCGTAATTACATTTGTTATAGCTCTCAATCGGCTGCACAAAAAAGGTTATAATGAAAATTTTGCTATCTCCCTTAGGTTTCGAGATATTCATTGAAAACTGGTCGATAGTCGTAATTGACTATCAGTTGAATTCATAATTTGGCGTTGAGAAATTTCATTGAATCGTCCGTTGTAATTTTATATTATTTGTAGATCATTTGTAAGAATTTTCAAAGACATCCGAAAGAAATGCCAATGCCAATCTTCCAAAAATTACTAGTCAGCTGTCTAGGAAATTTCAACTTTCTTCAAGCATATGTTATTAACTCGAGGAATCCAAGAAATCCTCTCGTTTTCCAGACAATGGGACTGTCGCCACGGTGAGATCCTGCCGCGAGGTCTACGAGCCAGGGCGGAATACTTCATCCCCGGGATTACCCACCGATGTAGCGGAAGTGCATTATTACCAATGCAAGGAAAATCTTTGCAATGGAGCCTCCTCTGTCGAGCCTGCGTCCCTAGTACTCGCTATCTTGAGCGTAATTTGGATTTCAGTTGATGGCCTCAGTCATCAATAATTTCGGAATTCAATTTCATTATTTATAGTGCAAGATTGTATCTCAATACACGGTCACACGAAATATCAGGCGGTGTGTCATTACCCTTATCTCTTATATCGAAGTAACACTCTCAGCGTTTTCAGTTCCTACATGCTGAAAAATTTTTGATAAAAATTATCCTAGCGTTCTATGAAATGTATCATGTCATCGTCACATGTCAGTCATCGTTTCCTCATTTCTATCCCGAAATTTAGTGAAAATTAATATGTGACGATCAAATTTTATTACTTTAAAGAAATTTTATCCTGATAAAAATAAAAATTACCGTGCCGGTAGAGTGAAAATTACTGTACCGGTAGGATAACATTTAACAAACTAGTTCTACGATGTTTCCACTTTTTCTCAAATGGATTGTTTTTATCTGCGATCATTGAGAGGTGCGACTGATACAATCCACTTTGAACGAACTTTGATCAAGGTTGAACGATTAGATAAATAATTCAATGGGTTCCTCCGAAATCATCAGTTTAAAATCGAGGAGCGAGGTGGGTGGCCCTTCATTTACGGATAATTCATCCAAGTCATCACATCGCTCTTCCATTTCGGGCAGCGTCACAAGTGTTTCTACAAGTTGAAGTGAAAATGAGAGGATTGGTGTTCATCGCTGTCATTGCTGTCGCAATCGCTGTCGGTGAGTAGCCAAATTTGATTCAACACGGAGAGAAATTTTTTCGAAAAATTCTAGTGCTAGCACGGGGAAAGAGGCGCAAAATGACGGCCAGGAAAAAATTCCAGTGCCGGCACTAGAAATTTTATTGGGGAAAACGTGAATTTTCCCCCGTATTTCTGTGAAAATTTCCCAGAAATACCAAGAAATTTTACCTTAACAGCACTAGAATTTTTCACAGCCGGTGGATTACAATTTTGTCCAGTACTCGCACTAGAATTTTTATAGAAAATTTCTCTCCGTGAACAGTGGGCATTTTTTCTGCTTTTTGGATATTGAATGGATTTCTTAGCGAATCCCGTCCCAGTCGTTAGGAAATCCCAGACATGTCTAGCAAATTTCATCTCATGATGTCAATGGTATTTCATGGAAAAAGGGATTTCAATTGAATTTTTTTCACAGGCGAATCTCTAGAATGTTATCATTGCGAGCAGTGTCAAGATCCTTTCCGCAAAGCAGATGCCAAACCCTTCAATTGTACCTATTCAGACGCCTGTCAAAAAGTAGATGTCACACTCAGTAAGTCAATAATTTCATATTCTCAGCAATTTGAGTGTTCGTTTGATCATAAAAATTAATTATAAATAATTTACAGCCAATGGAACTGTATGGACAACGCGCACGTGTGCTTCGGTAGCGTCACTCAGAACAGTCGACTCCAGGAAAGCAGAATCAGTGTATCCGGCTTCGGCAGTTTTCAATATTTGTAAAGAGAACCTTTGTAACGGAGCCACTTCCATCGCTTCAACATCCTTATTCCTAACATTCGTCAGCGTTATTTTTGCTGGGCTCGCTATTAATCGAAAGTAATTATGAAGTAATTATGAATTGTTGATTTTAGATAGCACACAACTGTGGAAATATATTGAGTTCAAAACAATTTGCAAAGATTTTGATACTTGCATTTATTCCTTTATTCTGACTAATTAATCATCTCAAAATTATTGAGAAATTTCACGTAAAAACCCAACTGTCCAGAGAACGAGATTCTTTGCGTCACCTCATACCCATCAGCCTTCAACAAATCTATTTACGGCTGATGATTCACTGATGTATCATCCGCTAAACTCGATATCAGTTTTGTCGACAAAAATCTGATAGTCGTTATCTGTTTCATATCCCTCATATAATCTCAGTACACAAATGTTACCAGAAACCGATAAACTATCGAGGCAGAGACATCAAGATTAACCTCTAGTGTGACAGTAAAATTATTCTTCAATTTCCCTGAGAATGAATAACCTCCTTGTTTTTATTATTGCTTCAACTATCTTTACCATCTGTGAGTATTTATCTTCTATCGCACGATTTTACGAATTTCTTCTCACTGCAGACATCAATTCTTTATTGAACGCACTTGTTCTACAGGTGAATCTCTACAATGTTACTCCTGCAGCGGCTGCAAAGAACCTTTCGACTCAGCAGCGGCTAGCGTTCTCAACTGCACTAAAATAATTGGAACCGGAGGTGTTTGTGCAAAAGCACTTGCAAAATTCCGTGCGTGTGGATTACAGTTTATCACACGGAACGAAATATTCAGTGAAAATTACCAGAAAAAAGATCTACAAGTTACGTTTCGAAACGTTATCTGGGAGCGAAGTAAAATTCAATAAAAAGTGTCAATCGTCACGTAAATTCTACGATCTGTTCCGTAATGTTTATTGAATATTTCTCTCCGTGCATTTTTAAATCACAACGTCATTGAAAATTTTGCAACTTTCTCACGGTTTCTTCAAACGCCAAAACACTAACCGATTTCGTCCAGATTTTTTCTCTACAAAACTTCAATTTTTCATTGGCAGAAAAAAAAATTGAGTATGAAAAAGTCAACAGAATGATTTTTACAAAAAGACAAATCAAATTTTTCATTCCTTTGAAGAAAACGTGTCAACCCGGTGGCTTGGCGCAGTGGGTAAGTTCATTGCCTCACATGCGAACGGTTCCGAGTTTAAATCCCGGCCGGGTAGAATGGTGCGATCTAACCATTTAAAGTCTTGATCATCATCGCAGTATACCCTAACCGGGTCGAAGCGATGTAAAATAACGATAAAAAAAAAGAAGAAAACGTCTGCAGAAGTTGCGTCTTTTTCGATAAAAGTCTGCAAACTAAAATGCTTATAATATTTTCAGTTAGCGGGAAAGAATTATCCTTCCGCTATTGTGGAAGAATCCCCACTATCTCCTCAACAGACGTCCAAACACCGTCATTTAGGGTCGACAGCGATGTCGTATCTCTACATGAATTTTACTGTTTCAAGGATTTCTGCAATGACGCTCCATCATTCTACTCACCACTTTGGGTATTGATGGCGAGCGTCGGCTGTATTTTTTTGTTCGGGCGTGGTGGACATTAATTACATGAAATTATAATAATTATAACAAATAAGCAAACAAACAAACAAAACAACAAACAAAATTATTTTATTAATACATAATATTGTATGAATATAAATTCAAACAATTTGCTACCGATTGGTGATAAAATTTTTTGGAAATAATGAAATAGGGGGGATAACGCCTTTCTTTTCTGGGGTGATTTTTCAAAAATTTATTTTAAAAAAAGTACTAACTAGCAAATATTTTTTATTAGCTCGCAATTTTCTTCAAAACTACTTCAATGAGGAAAAAAATGAAAATTTGGAATATCTATACATGAGGGGCTAATTGATCGGATCTCATAGTTTCCGAGATAATCGCGAAAAACGAAAATGCTAAAAAAAATTAATTTAATTCATCTTATATAGGGTGTAGGAAGTNCAAAAAATATTCTGGTATTTTTTCTTTCGCAGAAAACGACAGAAAATTGATAGAATTTGGAATAGTATTCCTCGATTTTTTCATTCATCCATCGGATGTGTTTGTGCATTTGTAATTAAGCACTTCAAGTTTTAAGTCGACACGCAAACCGTAACCTGTTTTCATCTTTTCCTTTTTCATTCCGCTTGCCATTACCATCTCATCATCGATTGAGGAAAATCTGTTTTTCCTCCGCAAATACCAAGATTGTTTCCCAGAAATTTATGAGTGAGATGTTATCACATTGACATCTCGTACAATTTCCAGATTGGCAAAGCATGATAATTCATTTTCTACAGTTCCTGGAGTTTCAACTACTGCTCCAACCCTCCGCGTTCGCTTCTACGGTTGTGATCAATCGAAACCTGACTCATTGTGTATTCCCTGTACCCCAATAGATTACGTCGGATAATAAAACTTGAAAGCTCTCCATTTTTCCGGAGCAACGGCATAGGGATTATCTCATTAGTCCTCTCAGCCCTTGTTTAACGTAGCCGATAACAGAAATCGATGGTGCTTTATCGGAGTTGTTCATTGCAGGAGAACATTCTGAGCACAATACATTAGTAAAGTGTAGGTACAGTTTTTGACGAACCACTGAGGTCGTGACATCGTACTTCTCGAGCGAGAATTGCCGGAAGCAGAAGACAGAATGAAGGTTTTGTTGGTCGTCGGTTTGGTTGCGCTTCCCTTCGCTATCGGTGAGGATTCAGTCGGAGGGATGACCCTTTCGCATCTGTTCCTTGCAAATTTTATTGGAGGTGAATTTTTTTAGGGGGCAATTTCACGTGCCATCATTGCCGCGGATGTGGAGACCCCTTCAATGCAGAATCTGTCAAGTCGGAGGTCTGCGATTCCGCGTGCGTGAAAACAGTCATTGTGGCCAGTAAGTACATCTGTTAGTGGACTATTTTAGTCGCGTCGTAGTTTAGGTGAAGGTTGAAGGAAGTTCATTGGAAAATCTACGAAAACTGTAAATTTCAGGTCAATTCAGCAGCGAAGTGGTGAAACGGTTCAAGTCGTCTTGTCTCCCAGTTGTATTTTTGAGGAATATTTCCGAATCCAAGGGAGATAGCAAAATTTTCGTAATTACATTTGTTATAGCTCTCAATCGGCTGCACAAAAAAGGTTATAATGAAAATTTTGCTATCTCCCTTAGGTTTCGAGATATTCATTGAAAACTGGTCGATAGTCGTAATTGACTATCAGTTGAATTCATAATTTGGCGTTGAGAAATTTCATTGAATCGTCCGTTGTAATTTTATATTATTTGTAGATCATTTGTAAGAATTTTCAAAGACATCCGAAAGAAATGCCAATGCCAATCTTCCAAAAATTACTAGTCAGCTGTCTAGGAAATTTCAACTTTCTTCAAGCATATGTTATTAACTCGAGGAATCCAAGAAATCCTCTCGTTTTCCAGACAATGGGACTGTCGCCACGGTGAGATCCTGCCGCGAGGTCTACGAGCCAGGGCGGAATACTTCATCCCCGGGATTACCCACCGATGTAGCGGAAGTGCATTATTACCAATGCAAGGAAAATCTTTGCAATGGAGCCTCCTCTGTCGAGCCTGCGTCCCTAGTACTCGCTATCTTGAGCGTAATTTGGATTTCAGTTGATGGCCTCAGTCATCAATAATTTCGGAATTCAATTTCATTATTTATAGTGCAAGATTGTATCTCAATACACGGTCACACGAAATATCAGGCGGTGTGTCATTACCCTTATCTCTTATATCGAAGTAACACTCTCAGCGTTTTCAGTTCCTACATGCTGAAAAATTTTTGATAAAAATTATCCTAGCGTTCTATGAAATGTATCATGTCATCGTCACATGTCAGTCATCGTTTCCTCATTTCTATCCCGAAATTTAGTGAAAATTAATATGTGACGATCAAATTTTATTACTTTAAAGAAATTTTATCCTGATAAAAATAAAAATTACCGTGCCGGTAGAGTGAAAATTACTGTACCGGTAGGATAACATTTAACAAACTAGTTCTACGATGTTTCCACTTTTTCTCAAATGGATTGTTTTTATCTGCGATCATTGAGAGGTGCGACTGATACAATCCACTTTGAACGAACTTTGATCAAGGTTGAACGATTAGATAAATAATTCAATGGGTTCCTCCGAAATCATCAGTTTAAAATCGAGGAGCGAGGTGGGTGGCCCTTCATTTACGGATAATTCATCCAAGTCATCACATCGCTCTTCCATTTCGGGCAGCGTCACAAGTGTTTCTACAAGTTGAAGTGAAAATGAGAGGATTGGTGTTCATCGCTGTCATTGCTGTCGCAATCGCTGTCGGTGAGTAGCCAAATTTGATTCAACACGGAGAGAAATTTTTTCGAAAAATTCTAGTGCTAGCACGGGGAAAGAGGCGCAAAATGACGGCCAGGAAAAAATTCCAGTGCCGGCACTAGAAATTTTATTGGGGAAAACGTGAATTTTCCCCCGTATTTCTGTGAAAATTTCCCAGAAATACCAAGAAATTTTACCTTAACAGCACTAGAATTTTTCACAGCCGGTGGATTACAATTTTGTCCAGTACTCGCACTAGAATTTTTATAGAAAATTTCTCTCCGTGAACAGTGGGCATTTTTTCTGCTTTTTGGATATTGAATGGATTTCTTAGCGAATCCCGTCCCAGTCGTTAGGAAATCCCAGACATGTCTAGCAAATTTCATCTCATGATGTCAATGGTATTTCATGGAAAAAGGGATTTCAATTGAATTTTTTTCACAGGCGAATCTCTAGAATGTTATCATTGCGAGCAGTGTCAAGATCCTTTCCGCAAAGCAGATGCCAAACCCTTCAATTGTACCTATTCAGACGCCTGTCAAAAAGTAGATGTCACACTCAGTAAGTCAATAATTTCATATTCTCAGCAATTTGAGTGTTCGTTTGATCATAAAAATTAATTATAAATAATTTACAGCCAATGGAACTGTATGGACAACGCGCACGTGTGCTTCGGTAGCGTCACTCAGAACAGTCGACTCCAGGAAAGCAGAATCAGTGTATCCGGCTTCGGCAGTTTTCAATATTTGTAAAGAGAACCTTTGTAACGGAGCCACTTCCATCGCTTCAACATCCTTATTCCTAACATTCGTCAGCGTTATTTTTGCTGGGCTCGCTATTAATCGAAAGTAATTATGAAGTAATTATGAATTGTTGATTTTAGATAGCACACAACTGTGGAAATATATTGAGTTCAAAACAATTTGCAAAGATTTTGATACTTGCATTTATTCCTTTATTCTGACTAATTAATCATCTCAAAATTATTGAGAAATTTCACGTAAAAACCCAACTGTCCAGAGAACGAGATTCTTTGCGTCACCTCATACCCATCAGCCTTCAACAAATCTATTTACGGCTGATGATTCACTGATGTATCATCCGCTAAACTCGATATCAGTTTTGTCGACAAAAATCTGATAGTCGTTATCTGTTTCATATCCCTCATATAATCTCAGTACACAAATGTTACCAGAAACCGATAAACTATCGAGGCAGAGACATCAAGATTAACCTCTAGTGTGACAGTAAAATTATTCTCCAATTTCCCTGAGAATGAATAACCTCCTTGTTTTTATTATTGCTTCAACTATCTTTACCATCTGTGAGTATTTATCTTCTATCGCACGATTTTACGAATTTCTTCTCACTGCAGACATCAATTCTTTATTGAACGCACTTGTTCTACAGGTGAATCTCTACAATGTTACTCCTGCAGCGGCTGCAAAGAACCTTTCGACTCAGCAGCGGCTAGCGTTCTCAACTGCACTAAAATAATTGGAACCGGAGGTGTTTGTGCAAAAGCACTTGCAAAATTCCGTGCGTGTGGATTACAGTTTATCACACGGAACGAAATATTCAGTGAAAATTACCAGAAAAAAGATCTACAAGTTACGTTTCGAAACGTTATCTGGGAGCGAAGTAAAATTCAATAAAAAGTGTCAATCGTCACGTAAATTCTACGATCTGTTCCGTAATGTTTATTGAATATTTCTCTCCGTGCATTTTTAAATCACAACGTCATTGAAAATTTTGCAACTTTCTCACGGTTTCTTCAAACGCCAAAACACTAACCGATTTCGTCCAGATTTTTTCTCTACAAAACTTCAATTTTTCATTGGCAGAAAAAAAAATTGAGTATGAAAAAGTCAACAGAATGATTTTTACAAAAAGACAAATCAAATTTTTCATTCCTTTGAAGAAAACGTGTCAACCCGGTGGCTTGGCGCAGTGGGTAAGTTCATTGCCTCACATGCGAACGGTTCCGAGTTTAAATCCCGGCCGGGTAGAATGGTGCGATCTAACCATTTAAAGTCTTGATCATCATCGCAGTATACCCTAACCGGGTCGAAGCGATGTAAAATAACGATAAAAAAAAAGAAGAAAACGTCTGCAGAAGTTGCGTCTTTTTCGATAAAAGTCTGCAAACTAAAATGCTTATAATATTTTCAGTTAGCGGGAAAGAATTATCCTTCCGCTATTGTGGAAGAATCCCCACTATCTCCTCAACAGACGTCCAAACACCGTCATTTAGGGTCGACAGCGATGTCGTATCTCTACATGAATTTTACTGTTTCAAGGATTTCTGCAATGACGCTCCATCATTCTACTCACCACTTTGGGTATTGATGGCGAGCGTCGGCTGTATTTTTTTGTTCGGGCGTGGTGGACATTAATTACATGAAATTATAATAATTATAACAAATAAGCAAACAAACAAACAAAACAACAAACAAAATTATTTTATTAATACATAATATTGTATGAATATAAATTCAAACAATTTGCTACCGATTGGTGATAAAATTTTTTGGAAATAATGAAATAGGGGGGATAACGCCTTTCTTTTCTGGGGTGATTTTTCAAAAATTTATTTTAAAAAAAGTACTAACTAGCAAATATTTTTTATTAGCTCGCAATTTTCTTCAAAACTACTTCAATGAGGAAAAAAATGAAAATTTGGAATATCTATACATGAGGGGCTAATTGATCGGATCTCATAGTTTCCGAGATAATCGCGAAAAACGAAAATGCTAAAAAAAATTAATTTAATTCATCTTATATAGGGTGTAGGAAGTGGAACCCAAATTTGGTTTTAAGGCTCTATCTCCCATAGTTTCCGAGATAATCGCGAAAAACGAAAATGCAAAAAAAAATTAATTTAATTCATCTTCTGTAGGGTGTAGGAAGTGGAAAAACGCAATTCTGGACCGTCCTTCTGCCTATACGGAACCCAAATTTCCTCAGGAATCGAATGGAATAGGTTTTAAGGCTCTATCTCTCATAGTTTCCGAGATAATCGCGAAAAACGAAAGTGCCAAAAAAAATTAATTTAATTCATCTTGTATAGGGTGTAGGAAGTGGAAAAACGCAATTCTGAGCCGTCCATCTGCCTATACGGAACCCAAATTTCCTCAGGAATCGAATGGAATAGGTTTTAAGGCTCTATCTCTCATAGTTTCCGAGATAATCGCGAAAAACGAAAGTGCCAAAAAAAATTAATTTAATTCATCTTGTATAGGGTGTAGGACGTGGAAAAACGCAATTCTGAGCCGTCCATCTGCCTATACGGAACCCAAATTTCCTCAGGAATCGAATGGAATAGGTTTTAAGGCTCTATCTCTCATAGTTTCCGAGATAATCGCGAAAAACGAAAGTGCCAAAAAAAATTAATTTAATTCATCTTGTATAGGGTGTAGGAAGTGGAAAAACGCAATTCTGAGCCGTCCATCTGCCTATACGGAACCCAAATTTCCTCAGGAATCGAATGGAATAGGTTTTAAGGCTCTATCTCTCATAGTTTCCGAGATAATCGCGAAAAACGAAAGTGCCAAAAAAAATTAATTTAATTCATCTTGTATAGGGTGTAGGAAGTGGAAAAACGCAATTCTGAGCCGTCCATCTGCCTATACGGAACCCAAATTTCCTCAGGAATCGAATGGAATAGGTTTTAAGGCTCTATCTCTCATAGTTTCCGAGATAATCGCGAAAAACGAAAGTGCCAAAAAAAATTAATTTAATTCATCTTGTATAGGGTGTAGGAAGTGGAAAAACGCAATTCTGAGCCGTCCATCTGCCTATACGGAACCCAAATTTCCTCAGGAATCGAATGGAATAGGTTTTAAGGCTCTATCTCTCATAGTTTCCGAGATAATCGCGAAAAACGAAAGTGCCAAAAAAAATTAATTTAATTCATCTTGTATAGGGTGTAGGAAGTGGAAAAACGCAATTCTGAGCCGTCCATCTGCCTATACGGAACCCAAATTTCCTCAGGAATCGAATGGAATAGGTTTTAAGGCTCTATCTCTCATAGTTTCCGAGATAATCGCGAAAAACGAAAGTGCCAAAAAAAATTAATTTAATTCATCTTGTATAGGGTGTAGGAAGTGGAAAAACGCAATTCTGAGCCGTCCATCTGCCTATACGGAACCCAAATTTCCTCAGGAATCGAATGGAATAGGTTTTAAGGCTCTATCTCTCATAGTTTCCGAGATAATCGCGAAAAACGAAAGTGCCAAAAAAAATTAATTTAATTCATCTTGTATAGGGTGTAGGAAGTGGAAAAACGCAATTCTGAGCCGTCCATCTGCCTATACGGAACCCAAATTTCCTCAGGAATCGAATGGAATAGGTTTTAAGGCTCTATCTCTCATAGTTTCCGAGATAATCGCGAAAAACGAAAGTGCCAAAAAAAATTAATTTAATTCATCTTGTATAGGGTGTAGGAAGTGGAAAAACGCAATTCTGAGCCGTCCATCTGCCTATACGGAACCCAAATTTCCTCAGGAATCGAATGGAATAGGTTTTAAGGCTCTATCTCTCATAGTTTCCGAGATAATCGCGAAAAACGAAAGTGCCAAAAAAAATTAATTTAATTCATCTTGTATAGGGTGTAGGAAGTGGAAAAACGCAATTCTGAGCCGTCCATCTGCCTATACGGAACCCAAATTTCCTCAGGAATCGAATGGAATAGGTTTTAAGGCTCTATCTCTCATAGTTTCCGAGATAATCGCGAAAAACGAAAGTGCCAAAAAAAATTAATTTAATTCATCTTGTATAGGGTGTAGGAAGTGGAAAAACGCAATTCTGAGCCGTCCATCTGCCTATACGGAACCCAAATTTCCTCAGGAATCGAATGGAATAGGTTTTAAGGCTCTATCTCTCATAGTTTCCGAGATAATCGCGAAAAACGAAAGTGCCAAAAAAAATTAATTTAATTCATCTTGTATAGGGTGTAGGAAGTGGAAAAACGCAATTCTGAGCCGTCCATCTGCCTATACGGAACCCAAATTTCCTCAGGAATCGAATGGAATAGGTTTTAAGGCTCTATCTCTCATAGTTTCCGAGATAATCGCGAAAAACGAAAGTGCCAAAAAAAATTAATTTAATTCATCTTGTATAGGGTGTAGGAAGTGGAAAACAACACTACACATTCTCCTAGACCCGATGTGGTAATGGAAGTGAATGAGATAAATCAAATCTGTTTCATGAATATTTTGTTTAATGCCTCGGAGTCCCCGAGAGACAGCTGAAATTTCAGCCATTAGACGACTTCAAAGGATCGAGTGTTCTGGCTTTGTTGTAACAAGTGAGGGCGAGAATTTCGTGAGTTCAATTCCGAGCGCTTGCGCGAGGAAAAGACAGGATTACCTCAATTTTTAAATTGATTAATCTGTTGTATTCTCAGAATGTCTTCATTCATTGTTCCTTCATCAGTCGTCTGCTGAACCTTTCGCGCGTAACAAACAATTCCCAAATTTCAATTTGGAATTCAATCTGGAATTGACTATCAGTGTCACCCGGACAATCCTGTTTTCTATTCAACCCCAATTCCAAGTTAATGGCCCATTGTAGCCCCCATAACGCTTCATTTGGGGGTTTAATCCAATAAAGCACACGATGTAAAACCGTCCGACTGTGATTCCATTATCCGAGACAAGCGTACAGATACAAAAACATCAAAATAACGACATACCGCGTTTATGTAGTTGTAAAGAGACAGGCCGTCATCCCAGGGCTCTTCCCTATCGCAGGATAAGTTCATCGGTCGGAGTACGTGACTGCGATCGAGGGAGGAAAGCCCATGAGCAAAAACTTGAACGCTGTCGTAGACAAGCGCCGGTTCTGCCTGAAACATGTTGAGAATAATTCAAGAAAATAAAGTAAGAACGTCTGTTTTGCTCTGATGTGCACCGAGAATAGCGGAGCTAATGTCACAGATGGAATAAGAAGATACGAACCTGGATAATTCCAGTTCGATTGAGAATGGCATGTCCAATCGGCTGGAATCGCTCCATCTGCCTCAAAACCTCGGCTATCCGCGGCTCCTCGAGATCGACTAGCCGAAAGGCAGTCATGTTTACACTGTTGTACTTGAAATCCTCTAGATCGAATGTCTCGATATCCTGAAACAATGTCAGGAGAGTTGAAGGCACTCAAAAGTTTGGCCGCTTTATCGATTCTTAAGTGACACGGGACTTGTGTTTTATTTATTTTTAACTCGGGGATAGGTCAAACTTTCGTCGCGGCGATACACGCTTTAAAGTTTTTACTCCCAGTGAATTGACCCGAAACTCGTTCCGCAAGCTGTCTAACTGCTTTTGTGATGAGGGTTCGAGGTGCTTCTTACAGACTTTTTCTTCTCTCGGTTGTCGGTCTGACTGAGGAAAGGGTACTACAAAAAGGGGAAACAAAGCTCGACCAGTGTTGTGTAATTATGGAGAACCGTGGATGAAGCAGTGTTGTACAATGAAGTAACCAGGCTCATTCGTTGGTGGATGTCTTCGCAGGTGTCCGGTGGCGCTATGATTTATAATTATACCGTGATGCATAGGACAACGGGGATCGTTAAAGTGAATAACGCGGTTTTTCCACGGTCAACGAACTTGCTAGTGGACAGTGTAATGCCGGGGTTTACTCAGGGGCAGCGACTACGGGACTACCTGGCCACGCCGGGGTGACTGAACACGCGTCTAACAATATTCGTGATGCTGTCCAAGTTTTCGGATATTTGTCGGAGCTCGGTGAATGTGATTATTTCGTGAATTATGGGGGCTCGGTTGGGAGGAACTCGTGGGGCTGTTGCGACCGGTTAATGAAGATTTTGTACTTTCGGGGGAAATGTAGGAACATTTTCGTAGGGAAACATAACGCATTCGCTGGCACACGGAGAGAAATTTTTGGTAAAAATTATCGTACTGTTCTGTAAAAGTGTATCGTGAGTCTTCGCTTCCTCATTTCTGCCCCGATATTTAGTAAAAATTAATGGATGATGATCAAATTTTATTCTAAAGTCTGAATATATCTGAATTTGATTTTTCAATTGATCTAATAATCATCATTCTCGCCGAGTTGATTACTAATTTATAAATTTCTGAAAAATTGAAAGTGTTGATTGATAATTAATACAATAAAAATTGAAAAATTACACTACAGTTAACTAATTTTGTACGTAATAAAATCATTTTAATCTGCGTCATCTGCGCTTTTTTGTTCAATTTCTGTTATCAATTCCTCATAGGCGAGGCCCTTTTCTCAATATTTCATTTATTGATTTTCGAACCCTTCTCACGAACTCAATAGTACGAAATTTACTGTGGTCTTAATCCTAACCGGCTTACACAGGCAGAACTTGTGACGGAAAATCCACTCTAAATGTAATCAAAAATTAATGGAAATCCTCTGTTTGCCGATGCTCCAATACTTTCTGTATTTCTTCGTTCAATGGAAATAATTCAGTACTCACGAATGTGGTAAACATGTAGTGGTAACGGTGGTCGTTCATTTGTAGCTGCAGAATCTGGAAAAGGAATAGATATTGAAAACACACGGGATGGGAAAATATTTTCGTTCTATATGAATGGAAATTAAATTTCTCACAACCACTGGCGAGTGACAACCAATTTATGGAATAATAGAGGGAGTCAATACGCGAGGGATTAATAATGGACGACCGGCATTCAAGTCACACACGTGTCATGGACATTTTTCTGCACTAAATTGCGGGAAAATGGAGATGATAGATGGTGAATGAATACAGAAGACGATTTTTTCGGCCAACTGTGAGGAAATTTACCAAATAATTTTTTTTTCTGACATCAAGTCAAAATAATGAAAATAAATCATGGGATTTTTTCTAGATCTCGAACTGAAAAAAAAATAATAATAAAATTCAGATGTTTTTGTAACCGCTCCAGCTAAGCGGTCGGGGTAATTTACTCTCAATCAGAAATTTTATAATGAAAATTTCGCTATCTCCTTCTAATTCGGAAATATTTCTGAAAAACTCAGTTAAAGATTAAATCGACTTATGCCGTTTGACCACTTCCCTACTGAAATAATAAACTGTTGAAAAAATAATAGAGCTCGAGAGCAATGAGACTCCCGTTCCGTCTCCCTCAGCCGGAGAAATCTGACACAACGAAATCCACTCAGATCCAAAATAACCGAGGGAGAGGTGAAACGCGATAGAAAATACCGAGACGAATATCACCGGCGTTAACCCCCAGCATGTGCCAACTGTATATATCTCAAGTGTACTAGAGGTTTGCGAACTTTGTATTTTCTTCTTCGGTTCATAAATCTCATGGTATCCCTCGGTAACCATGGCGATTCCTTTCTTTACTGGAGGAATTGCTGCAATAACCGTACACAGGCACGTTAAAAAAAAGAGAAGGATCGAGCCAAATATGAAAAAATGGGGAGAAGGATCTAGGAATTCGGAGGCAGCGTGAGGAGAAACCGGGGCATGTAGCGTATGAAATAAAACTCGAACTTCTTGATGAGTTTTGAAGGAATGTTAGGGGGAAAAAATATACTTGATTCAAGTATATTTCAGTAGCGAAGCGGTAAACCGGGTCAAGTCGATTTTGACTTTTGGTTTTTTGTGGATATCTCAGAATCTAAGGGAGATAGCAAAATTATTCTCATGACCTTTTTTGTAGAATTAATTCAGGGTTATAGAAAAGGTCATGACAAAAAATTTTCTATCTCTCTTAGATTCAGAGATATTCGGCAAAAACTGGCTAGTAGTCGAAATCGACTTAACCCGGTTCAACTCGAAGACGATTCTTTTGCGTCAGGCCGGATTGTAGCAAGCCCTCCCAAGTGTAATCTAAGGGTCAGGCACTGAGTGAGGTGTGAGGCTATTCAAGTATGAAAAAAAAATTTTTTTTAAGTAATAATTATTAATAAAAATTCAATGTCTTAATTTAAGTGAAATTTCAAATGTAAATTTTTAGAATTGTTCAATGAAGTTTCAATATCTTCAGTTGCCACTCCAAATTTCGTAATCATCTCCGAGACTTGCGTCTCATTAATCTTTCAATATTCTTCCACCGGCAATAATTCATCTCCAGACGTGCAAAAAATTTTTTAATTAATCACAAAGGATCCTTAATGCTAAAAGAAAGCGCAAAAAAATGCAATCTCCATCGTTTCATGGAGTTATTATTCTCTACAAAATATGCGTGGCAACAGAATCCATAACAGGTAGTCTGCAAGCACTGGACGATTAATAACAGGAAATTCGATTAAACTTCTCCTTGAGTCTGGAGGCTCTCCTCAACCCACCGATCTGTCCTCCAAGTACTATTACGTCCCTTCCGCCCAATTGCCATTACGATATCGTTTCTTGTTTGTTAAGATGAAATCGACGGCTCATAAAATTCAATCTGACGGGTATTATCAATCTCCACTTTAGCAAGAATTTTCCTCTGATATTTTAATAAGATTGATCGCCTCAGACGCAACCAAATTGAACCGACTAACTCGGTGTCTTCAATGCAACGGGGAATTTCGATTAATCCCCACGTCGAAAAATTATGGGGAGAGTGGGAACACTCGGCGAAATTTTAACGCCACAGCGAATTTTTAATTACGGAGAGATTGAGTTTTACAATGAGTGCCAATTAGAAATGCCACGATGGCGTGAAGAAAACGTACTCGCGCTTGCTGGAGACCATCGCCGTCTTCTGTTTGACGACGAGAAAATTCAGGAATTGTTCGACAAAGTTTTAATTTCATAAAACGACAGCGTCTCTCTTAATCGCATTTCACGGCCCGACCGAATTCTTTTTTTTGAGGTACAGTTTCTTTTTTCAATCTCCGTGGGCGGTATTTTCATATCAGAAGGAATTTTAAATACCAGTTGTTAAACAATGTTTTTAACTCGTTTAATTTGAAGTTAAAAATTTAAATTCGCTAATTTATTTAAATTTTTTAAATTGCACTCAGACGAATTTTTTAATTGAATCGAATAGACTTCATTTGGATTAAATAAATTGTTCATTTGATTGCAATAAAATATTATTTATTTCGCAAAATTGAAATATTTGAATTAAATTGGGGATAAATAAAAATAAATTGATACTGAAATCAATTGGAAAACGTCACACGAAGAGTTTCAAATTCCGAAGAGTCGACTCACCGCTCTGAAGAACTGCTGCATGTGCAGAGGATCGGTATCTATAATGAGCTTGTAAATCTCCTTCTGCCTGATCTCACGAAGTACTTGACGGTAGGAGCCAGGACCAGCCTGACGTATGTACATCTCAGTGCGTGTGGTTGGCGGTGACTTAACCAGGTCCTGAAGCTTGAATAGACCTGTGTACACAGTGAATATTGTACATCAAAGAACAATCAAACTGATGACGCTAGGCTGCATCGACTAATTGAAAGGAGATTATCCAATCAGTGTACGTCACCGAGCGTGTCACAACTAAATTCTTCTGCTTTAATCGACGCATTGAAATGTCTCGAAAAAACGGGGGAGCGAAATAGCTTTTGTAGTCCTGAGGTGAAAATAATTTCGCCAGAGGTATTTTCAATAAGTTTTGTTGATATGTTATTTAAGGAGAAACGAGTTGATTTTTTTTATTGATTATTTGACAATTTAGCTGTTCAAGGGATTAAATTTTTAAAGATAATAAAAATGATTAAACGATTACGGGTTGCGAGAATTTGACATTTTACTTTCAATGTTAATACGCGGAAAGAATGTAAATTTACTGATTAACATAGTAATTCCGAGAGCAAATGAAAAACTACGACGAATTGGATGAAAAAATTCGGCTGACAAAATTAAGATATGATGGAGTCCGTTGAAAAAATTACTGTTGAACGCAGTAAAAATTGAGAGGCGGTAATTTTTAATTTAATATTAGAATTCCATCTTCTAGCTTATGAAGTCGTAATAAATTCAACAATTAATTTCATTGATCAACAATTTTCTTCGCAAAACAGCACAAGAAATCATTCAGCTGTAATAAAAATGATCTCGTGTTAAAGTGGTTCGTTCGAGTTACGACAGCGAGACTGAAGTCTCGTCGAATAATTCTATCAACGGAAAACAAGGTGGAGGGGTGAGTGGGATGCGCATCCACGTGTGGATGCCGAGGATATTGCCCACAAAACGGCCGTTTCGACGATTTGTATCTTCGATCGTAAATCCAGCCAGCAAATCGTTTCCGACACCCACCCGCGTTCTACCACTTTAGGACTCTAATTCCACCAGTGGGTGGTGTAACTTACAGCATCCGCAGAATACAATTGCAGTGATTATTTCACATGGGTTATCGTCCTCACTTTCTTCTCTCCCCCCCCTTCCCCCCAGCGATCGTATAAATTGATTACACCCTTGTGTTCGTTTGAATCGTTTTAAATTGGACGGATAAAATAGTAATTGGCGTCGTCATGAATGATACAGGTAATATTGGGGGGCAGGAGTCGACAGATTTTGTTTCAATTAATGGGCATTCACCGCGAGTAACTGATCTGGTGGACGAATATTACATTTGATCAGTGAAATACAGAGATCATTGACGACAATGGTTATCAAATGGAATGGAATTCTTGTGGCAATTGAAGAGTGGAAGTTTTACAGATAATTTTGAAATTGATCATGCGGCTTTTTAATCGATTGATTGATTTTTTTTTTCATTTCTATTCGTCAATCAACGGAAAAATAATGAATTTTTGAATGGATTTTAAAAATCTAAAGGTTTTATAATAATTTTCTCTTCTCAATTAATGAGTATTTACAGGGAAATATTTGTAGAAAAATTTTTCAGCTCTTTAAATTGATAAATTGCCACTTGAATTGATTAATTCCTGAATATATTTTTATAAGTACAAAAAATTGAACTTGAGCTTCCACAATAATTTTTATCATCCCGCTGCTCGTAGAGAGTAATTTACTTCCGTAAATTGAATTTCCACTCGCGTGAGAATCTATTCTATTACTTCCCCAAATTCCTTTTCACATCTTCGTAAAACGTCGTCATAAAGAAATCTGTCACGTATCTCCCCCGAAATCCATACACTCCCCCGAGTTCCTTTGAACGTCGTACAAAGTGGTGGGTGATTCCTACAAGGACCCACTTGGCTGGACAAGTGCGCTAAGGAGAGTATACAGAGCAAGAGGTGGTTTGCCGAAGCCCAGTTGTGAATCTTCCCCGGATAAGTCTCGACGCTGCAGGCTCACGTGGCGTTAAAAACGTTTAAATTGAAAAATAAAGAAATCCAACATTCTGTGTAGATTTTTCCAGCTCTTATTTTATCACCACTGCAGTCCAATTACTCGGGATTTTGCGACCAGGTAGACGAGCTCTCTGCGGTCACTGTCGCGAGTGCAAGAAAAATTAGAGAGATGAGAGCGTGAAATGAAATTAAAAGAACTGGATGGAACAAATTTTTTTGTCTTATGACATTCGTCGTTTAATCTTCGGGATAATGACTATTCAGTTTAGCACATGTGGAGATGCTGTTGCAGAGTGGTATCCGAGCAATTTCGTATCGCTCATTGTGTCGCAACCACAGAGAATTGAGGAGACAATGGGGGTAATACACGATGTGGATTTCGCCTTCTGACGTTGGAGATGCTATTCAATGACTGAATATTCTAATTATGCTCGTCAATGCTTCATCCCGTGGAGCTCATCAGCCTTTGAGACGGCGCTCTGAGGAGTATTTCCGGAATTCTTCGGGAAATTTTACCGAGTTTGGGAGGCTCGGGGTGGATGTGGGGAGAAACCAAACGAGGGGGGGGACGAGTGAATGCGGATGGATAAATTGTTGGGAGATGAATGCGAGTTCTGGGCGGCAGGGAAAAATTCCGGGGAATGGCATTTTGTCCGGCGGTCGGATCGGTCGTGGGGTTTTTCTACTTGACGGGAGTGCTGGGAAGAACCGGTGCTCGGGGAGTAGCTACGGTGAATTTAAATAGTTTTTACGAGACATAAGAGTTTTACGAAAATTTAAAATTAAAGGTGAAATTAATTTTTATCAAAAATTAATGCAGTGTTAATTTCAGTGCAAGTATTCCGTGAAAATTCATCGAATTCAGGGGAATTCAAGTAAATTTACTCATGATTTTTTACTTGCATTGATGATGCGATGTAATTTGTTGCTGGATATTGATTTTTTCATTGAATATTCAATTTAGTTGGTGAATTCTTGTGATTCCAAGGAATTCGCTGATTTTTCATTCATTTTCGGAATAATTAAACTGAAATTCACAGTTCCCACGGGTTTTTTCATGAAATTATGAACTTTTAGTGATAATAAATATAAAAATAATGACAATATTCCTTAATGATAAGAAATATAAAATTTCTCCATTTTTTCACTCTCTCAAAAATTCTCAATCAACCGTCCGCGGAATTTTAATTTTTTCCCAACAACAAAAAATTAAATTAAAGTTGAAATGTCACTAATCAAAATTTCCGGAATTACACAGAAAAATCAGCCGAAAACTGTATAAATTGAGCAGAAGTGCGGAAGAGGAAGATATTCCAGAAGAAAAGTTGAATATGGTGTCATTATTTCATCCCCACGTCTTCTAAGAGCTATTCGCCTCTTTTTAGGGCACTGAAAGGTGAAAAAAAATTATGGTGAACGGACGTGAGACGCATATAAAAGTTCTTTTCGGTTGGCGTTGGTGGAGAAGGGAGAAATGGAGGACGTGTGTGCTTGCGGGGACGGTGTACACTGGTACCGTCGAGAATGGGAGGGTTGAGAGTGATGGGAAGATTACAAATAGAAAAATGTGAGAGGAATGTCAGTGTAAACTGGACAACTGAATAAATAATCGAACCGGAGTACCTCAAGATTCAGTCACTCCCGAGGGGATGAACGCATTCAATTTCATCATGAAGCTCATAACAAATCAATTCCCGAGGGAATGAAGAATGAAAAAAATTCTGGAGGCCAAAATTTTTCTTCTGCTTCACTCCAAAATAAATCAACTTAAGGAATCTTTCGACCACCTCCGAAAATATCTCAAATTGCAGATATTTTTCCTCCACCCTTGCCCTGACGATACATGAATCAATATGAGAGCGAAGAAAACCTGGAACGATCGGAATTCTTTGATCCAAACTCGCCAGACAGCAGCAACATACCCGGTATTCCAGTCAAGATCAAAGTAAATGTCGGTGGGTTTGTATCAAAAGAACTAATTCTATGTAACTCACCATAATTTTCCTCGTAGATTATAGCAACTCTCGTCCAATTGAGAAAGGACATGAGATCCTTGAATGCCTTATTCAGATGATCCTGAGATGGATAGAGATTTATACTGAACTCTTTGAAAGTTGGCTCAAAGTCCATTCGTGCCTCCAAGTGTGGTACGTCAAGGGCTTCGCATATACTCTGAATGTGGGCGCCTAATAGTGGGTCCGATGGACCGAATATACCCTGGACCGATCTCGATAGTTGTTTGCAGGCTGAAAAATCGAATTATTTCAATTATTAAATTGTTTTGAATGGAATTAATGACGAAAACAATATTCAATCTTATCATTTGGCCCCCATAATCCTTATTCTGACCTTTGTGACCCTGAATTTGACCCTCGAGGGCCCTCACCGATCCTCTTAATCCTCATTCTACCCCTCGTGATCCTTAATCTGACCCTTATGATCTTTAATTTGACCCTTACGACCCGTAATTTGATCCCTTTGACTCATAATCTGACCTTTGTGACCCCCGTGATCCTCATAACCCTTAATCTGATAATTGTGACCCTCGAGACCCTTATTCTGACCCTCATGAATCTCATTTTGACCCTCATAGCCCTTAATTTCGGCGTCGTTATTTCGACTATCAAATTTTCATCACCAGAAGTCGATTTGGATTTTCATAATATAGAGATATTTGACATTATTTTGAAACAAATCAACCAAACTCAATAACCCCAGCGAACTTATTGATAACTCACGACTATTGCCAACGCGATGTAACAAAAATCGCGAAAATAAGTCGCTGCAGTCACACAGATACCGCCCGAGAGAATTTAACCACAGGAAGTGGTTGTTTTTCACCCCAACGTCAGTGAAAAATAGTTCGGAAATTGATACGTCCGAGGAGTCCACAGACTCTTCTCTATTCGTGTGCCATATAATACCCAGTTCGAGCACGACTAGTCAAAGGCAACTGGTCTGACCCTCTCCGATAAAATATTCACCTCACGCGATCGTGTGGAAAAAAAACACGAGTAGAATTTTTTCCCCCATTCATTTCTCCTTTTTCCCTCAGTCGCTGGTCGATTTTCACACATATCGACGGAGTTCGGTCCAGCGTAGACCAGAAGACGCAGTTGTGATATGAATTATTCACAGGATGGAACTTGAAGGAAGAGTCGAGAGACTCCTCTCCCCTAGATGTATAGGGACAACAAAAGTGAATCATTTTATCGTTGGATATGAATTTCATCAGGATCTCGAGGGCGAGAGCTCGGAGATAACGGAAAATCCTCGGGTGCTGGAGTAATGGAAGTCCAATCAGCTTGAATCAATTAGCTCATCGGTGGGAGAGAGAAAAACTAGGTTTTTGGTTAATCCTACTTGTTTCGGTCTTCTTTCGACCAACAACAATCGTTTTGTTTCTGTCTTGTCAACACTTTTTCCCGCCGCGTTGGACCTCGCCAATTTTCTCGCAGCTGAAGCAAGAAGGCCATCAGCTGGAGACTAACAGTCTTAAGCCATCAATAATACTGATGTATATTGATGGACGTCGTTGAGCTACTTACACCCTCTGTTTTTAAACATCTTTCTTGTAATGGCGAGCAGATGGCACGTTTCGTCAACGTGATTATCACATTTACCAAGAAAATACTCCCTGCGGCGTCCAGTGGCTTGAGGGTGGCTCAAGTTGAAAGAAAGTGCTTGTCGTCACAAAGAGAAATTATAAATTGAAGATGAAGCTGAAACTAGCGGAATTTTCGTCAGCGGAAAGTTTAGTAACGAAGTGGTAAAAGGAGATAAGTCAATTTTGACTATTGACCAGTTTTCAAGCAATATCTCGGAATCTAAGGGAGATAGCGAAATTTTTGTTATAACCTTTTTTGTGGAGCCGATTGAGTGCTACAACAAATGTAATTACGAAAATTTGGCTATCTCCCTTAGATTTCGAGATATTGATTGAAAACTGGTCAATCGTCGAAATTGAATTATCTCCGTTTATCACTTCGCTACTGAATTCAATTTAGAGGATATTTAAGTGTGGGAGAGTCAAGTAATCATGTGTGCAAATGTTTTTTAAGCGCGAAAGTGTTTGTACATTAGTTAACAACATTTGTACACCCTAGAGTCGCCCAAGACAAATCTTCTGCTGCCGAATCTTCCGCTAGTTTCAGCTTCGTAAATTGAAGAACTATTTGTTCTTCATTCAATTGTAAATTGAAGATTTATTTGTTCTTCACGCAATATAGTTGATAATTTGACAAGATATTACAGTTGGACACCAACAAAGTCTCGCACGCATGTCTCAATGTTTCAGTTTGAGACATTAAGAGCGACTTGAATGTCTCAAGAAATGTTTAAGAAATTCAGAACGTCGGCAAGAAGAAACAATATCTCCTTTGTCCTCAAGCAACATCCCGATAGAATTTTATTCCCTCTCTCTCTGCACTTATTTTCTCTCTCAAGATTCCCCGCAGCTCTGTCATCCAAAATAAAATATTCAAATTGTGAGTCGTGCCTCAATCCGTCTCATGTAACATTTACATACGAGATAGAATGCTGATGTTGGGATAGGGTTTTTCCTCTAGGTTTATGGGTTTTCGAAACCAGCTCGCGATCATTCTGTTCCACTCCGGGATTAGGTGACAGCATGGCTTTGGAAGAAAGTGAATTTTACGTGATTTTTAGGCTCTCAAGTTAAGATATTAAAACATTAAGACATGCACTCCAGACATTGTCTACAGAATCTTTCGTTTCAAACTCATAATGTTCCATTTAATTTTCCAAAGACGACAAGTTGTTCTGTCCAATGTCTTGAATTAAGCCGTCCTAAAGGCAATACTGCCTTTAAAGGTTCCACACTGCAGATTATTTAAAAGGCAATTCCTCGTGAGCAGTCCTTCAAGTCAATCTTCCTTCCTGCAGTCCTCAACTCTGATCAGTTCAAATAATCACCTGTAATTTGTCCAATTATGCAGCGCCACTCATGCAAAACTTTCAGCAAACACTTGAGCACGAGCATCCTCTCAGAGACCACTATTTACGCGCAAAGTGCTTCGGGGATTTCTCACTTTATCATTCAACTCGAAAATTTACTGATAATTTTATGTGCAATATCAGCCCGGAACGAGTCGTCAAAGGACGAGAAGATAAAACACGTCATACAATTTAACGTTGAAGTATTTGCCTCGGGTGAATTTTGATGAGCCGTTGCTTCAAGAGCCCTTTCCATCATTTTTTTTTAATGACTCTGTCTTGAAGTAACTGAGGAAGACATCAGGCGTAATGAAAGCAGAAAGATGTTTTCGCCGTGTAATTTTTCCTCTGTAATCATAATTTTTTTTCAAGACTCCTTGGAGGCAGTCTCTCGGGTACTCTTCGTACATTCATGCCTCAGAATCTTCTTATCTTGGTCTCGTTATGCGCAACGGAGTTGCTGGGGTCCGTGCTGAATGAGAGAGGGAGGAAGTTGTGAATCAAGATTGAGGGGTGGCTTTTCTGGGGAAAAAATGCCGGGATGTCTTCCATGTGTCTCCATGATTCTTCGCTTTTCAGGGCTTCAAGGGTCGCTGACGTGCTCGAGACGAGGATGCCATTGTCATTTATTTTATCGAGAACTAGAGGACTACGCTACCTGCGTGTGAACCTCATATGATCCTTATTCTAACCCTCATGACCCTTATGACTCTTGTTTTGACCCTCATGATCTTATTCTGACCCTCGTGATGCTCAATTTAAACCTCATGACCTTCTTCTAACCCTTGTGACCCTTAATTTAATCCTCATAACCCTTATTCTTATCCTCACAACCCTTATTCTGACCCTCATGAGCCTTATTCTGACCCTCACGACCCTTATTTTGACCCTCACAGAATTTTTGTAATGAAAATCTTCAAAGAAAAATCACGAATCCTTCTTTCGAGCATTCGCTTTACCATATCTTCAACTAGAACTGTGACATTCCTATCAGGAATTGCCGAGAAAATACAATTCCTAACTGAATTTCCCAGCGACGAGGGCTTGTTACCAATCTCTTCATATCTACCAATTTAGAAAACAAGAATCCACCGGAATCTGTATAGAAAATAGACACGTGTCCCATCGACTCGATCTCCAATCTCCCCAGAAATCTGGAATTGTTCCAGCGGGCGATGAGAGCTCCCGGGGGATAAATCGTTAATGTATCGTCTATAGCTGTAGACGGCAGAGTGGAAAGTAGAATACAACGTAGGGGGGAACAAAAAGCCGTGGATGGAGAATCCACTTGGCTTTGTAACCCAATTTTCTCATTTATCCTGACTCCTGTGTCTCCGGAGAAGTAGATGGCTGGATAGGGGAGTGATGCCAATGTATCTGATCTCCGAGCCGTGTCTTATCGATATCTCAATGTCTTCTGGTGCCTCGGGAAGCTTCGTCTTGAGGCGAGTCCTCTGGCTTTCGAAAAAGGGTGGAGCACGGAGTCGCGACAATGGAGTTTACAGGGGGCTTTTCTTTCTTATTCTTTACCTTTCTTTGATGTTCTGAAGGAGTCGTCCTTCGGCACATACTGGATGTCGTAGACGAGGGTTGTGTTCGGCAGCAGGCTCTTGTCCTTGTTTATTCTGTAGACTGCGTACTTGAAGGCCAACTCGGAGGGACTGTCCTTTTGATCTTCAGTGAATATTGCACCTGGAATTAGACAATGGGGTTCGGGGGGATTAAATTCGTTTATTTACTTGAGTTATTCTCGGGTTTGGTTGATTTGTTTGAAGAAAAGTTATAGTTTGCGTATTTTGAGTTCGTTAGTTGTTTTATGAGCGGATTTTTTTCATGATTGTTTATGTGAATAATGTGAAAATTTTGGAGGGAGATCAATTTTTTACCATGAAAATCATTTTTTCGGAATCGTAACAAATTTATTCATATTAAAGATTTTATCGGAAATCGATTTCATAATTTTTTAACAACTTAAACAACTTCAATTATTGATTTATAAACAAAGAATGTTTAAAATATAATAATTATGGACAAAATGTGATTTAAATTACGCTGAATAGTCATGATTTTATTCAAATCTTTTTCACGCAATTGAATTGACAAATGATATCCTTAAATTATATCCCTCGAACAATTGTCAATTTTTTATAATTGATTGGCGCCCACCAAAATTTATAAATTATCCCGCGCCTCGCCCTCTCACATTATTATCAATATTATTTCCCAAAAGAGGTTTCGTCTCAATAAATATAAGTTTATTTCGAAAGATTTCAATTGCTCCTGCTCTCACGAGTAGTAAAAAAATCACGAGCAGCTGAAACTCCTGCGGAAATGGTATCGTAGGTGCAGTTGGATTCACCTATTGGATATCCGGGGCTATCAGGAGTCACTGGGGAGCATTGGGGCAATCACAGTCCTGTACCGGCTCCAACGTCTCGTGCATCGGCCACGAGGGGAGGCCTCGATTAATCCGAGGGAAATTGAGGCGATGATCATTTCGCCTCAATATGCCATTCTTGGTGGGATTATCGGCTCTCACTACAGGTTTTTCGGGGTCAGCCGGGGGCTTCCAAATGACCGATGATGAAAAACGGATTGGGGGTTGATCCTCTGAGTGATGGGAGCGAAAAAATACTCGAGTGAATCGTGGGAAAGTGCGGGTGAGACGGAGAAATGTGGGATAATCAGGTGATTACCTAGGAATTGGAAGAAAATAATGAAGAAATAAATTAACCCCCCACGTGTCGTCGGCCATTACACCTTTCCTCATCAAATAATTCTCCCGAACCAAGTTATTTCACGGAAAATAATCCAGAATGATTGAAAAATTAAATCGTCTCACCACGAAGATGACAGAATTTTTTTCGGATTTTCAGGGATTAAATAAACATTGTCATGAATTCATGAGTGGACGCGAGCCCTCTAATTACCATCAAATATTTTTCATCCCCACAGTGTTCTCTTGGAGATGCATTTTTGAAAGTAATTACGGAGATGGGAGAGATGGAAAGTTGTGTATTGTCCACACGACAGAAAATGTCTATTCTTGTGCGGACCAGCCAAATAATTGCTCCCAACGACCTCTCCCTCCAATTTTCGTGGTTAAGCTCGACCGTTCAGTACTACAATGATGCGTATACACTAGAACGTTAACTCCGGAGAGTAAAGTTGCTGTGTACGGATTTCCCGAAGGGGACGAAATTTTACCGGGGGAAAATGCAAAATACCTTTTATGAAAGCGGACTGCAATCACGGAAAAATCGATTCTAATGGTACGACGACGAACGATTCTGGTAATACAACGATGGTGGAAGTTCAAGCGGAAGATTTACTATTTTTTGCTCGATCGCGGGTTTTTATTTTCAGGGATTTCGGAATTCAGGGATTTTAAATTGAAAATTTTCATTGTTAAAGTTCAATTTTCGGTTCTTACTTTTGTTTTTTAATAGGGGGCTACGCCACCTGCTCGCCAACCCCTGTAGGACCCACATATGACCTCCATGATCCTTATGCTGACCCTTGCAAACCTTAATCTGACCCATATGACCCTTAACCTGACCCTCATAATGCTTATTTTGACCCTTGCGACCCTTAATTTTTCATTTTTATAATATATAGAGATGTTCCCTTTATTTTTTTTTATTTTACGATTTCTTGAACGATAAACTGTGAATTTTTTTTATAAATTAAATTTTCAGTACATTTTAGTCATTAAAAATTCACAATTTGAAGTAAAAATTCATATAAAGTGTAAATTTCCTGTTCATCACCTAGAAAATTTCAGGTGAATATATTATTCTCCATGTTTTCATTGAAAATTCAAGTAAGTTTGGGAATTGTCGCTCCAATTTTACAATTCCATATTGTTTTCCTCCTTAAGTCGAATTCAATGTCATGTCTCGAAAATTCCATGGAATTGCCTATTTGTTTCAACAGCGATGCATATGGAATGCGTGAGACACTCGATTAACATCAATAATTGGCTCTAATCATCTCCACAAAGAATTCAATGAAGCAAATTAGTTGTGACGTAACGACGGGTTTCGTTTGAAGCCGAAACACAATGGAATCAGTTAATAATGGGTCGTATCACATTCCCCCGGAATTGTGAACAAAAGCACTACTCCACTGTATCGGCAATTTCGATAATTGAGTTTGGTGGAAATTGGTGATTTTAGTGCCTGAGTCTCTCGAGTTTGTGAAGTAGAAGTACAGGGCCGAGTGAGACAGTTGGGAGAATGAACGAGTTTCTTAAAAGTTTTACAAATCCGGTTGGGTTGAAGTCTCAACTCTCGTCGCGAGAGGAAAAAGGGCACATCTGGGGAAATTGAAGAAAAATCAGTTCGAATGCTGCACTGATTGTTGGATTCTTCGGAGTGACGTGTGTTAGTACCTTAGTCATCGTTTGAGACAATTTATTTCCGAGAATTTTCGAAAGTTAAGAGACTAAAGCATTTCACAATATTTAATAGAAAACCTTTTATTCCAATTTTTTTATTCATTTCAACAATATTTTTTATCTAAATCGATAAACTAAAATATTTATTTGAATGAAAATTTTCAATTATTTTTGTACAATTAATTAATTAATTCATTCATTTATTAAAATAAAGAGACAATAAAGAGACGAAAAAATTTGACAATATTCAATATTTAAAATGAAACTGAAACGTTCATTTCAATAAAAATGCTCTAATTACGTTTGAAGAACAATTAATTCATTAATATCAGTATTAATGTAAACCTCACGGAGCTTTCCATAAAAAATAATTCCATTACCGCATGATTACGACTGAAATGCGAAAACACTTTGAACCGAGCGAATGAAATTTTTGTTATACGAGAGAAACTTCTAGACATATATGCGAGTCCATATTCCCCTTATACAGAATAAATGCAAAATGTATATTCCGAGCTACGATATTGGATGGGGGAGAAAAAAGACTAGCATGTCTGGGGAGAATCCACTGCGAGCTCTGCTAACAGGTGACAAATTGAATTCCACTTCGGCTACGAAGCGAATTATGCACGTGCCTCCATTGCCGTTTTTTTCCTTGCTTTGTTGCCGGCGGTTTCCAACAGACGTAATCTCTGTTTTTTTATAGACTCCATTACCAGGAAAAAAAAAATTTAATGGCAATTATGGAGATTTCAATAAATATTTTTCTTCCTTTTTTTCATAAACTAAAAATCTAATTCATATCTTTTTTTATTGAATGCAGTGTAATGTCTCAATGTAAGACACCAAAAATATCTTAACTTCTCAAAAAAGAAGGCAAAAATAAAATTTATTTAATTTAACCGAAACTTCGAATAAATTTTTTCATTTAATTTGAAAAAACTTATTTGATTCAAGTAAATAAATTTTCTGGGCGCTATCATCGTGATTTCCCTGAAGATTCAGAAGTTTTAAAGCCGATCTACTGACCGCGACGCAGAGCCCGGACGTCGATTGTCCGATTTCGTCCCCAGACCCGAAACTTGGATATTCCCTACGTGACTACGGCCTCGGTTCCTTCCTGGGATGATCGCCTCCTATCGTACAACCAATCACCGTAGAATTAATGCTGCTATATATCTAGTCCCCTCTGGTAAGTGTCGGAGACGGCACTTTGTCCGTTGTCTCGTAAGCCCAATTCAGGGTTACGCCGGGATGACCACAAAGTCCCACAATTCCAAGTTATCCTTATCTCAAATTGTTCCCGAAGTTTGCGTTCATCGTTGGTTATTCAGTTATGGAGTAGATTGACTTAGGATATTGCTCCTTTGAAGATTAGTGGGAAGTTTCCGTTTCTTATACAGATAATTCCGATCCCTCCGTTCACATGCGTTAATCAAATAAAAAAATTAAATTGTCAAATAAAAAAGAAAATCTCGAAATTTGGTACTTCGAGAGGGGGTGGAGGGAGGATGCATAATAGACAAGGGGAGGGGGTTCCAGAATCTATCTGAGTCACCCCCATCCCTCCGTTCGCATTCATTAATTAAATAAAAAATTTAATTGTTAAATAAAAAAAAGAAATTATCAAAAATTGGGACTTCGAGAGGGGGTGGGGGGGGGAATGTATAATAGGGGAAGGTTTTACCCAATAGGGTGAGAGGGTTGCAGAATCTATCTGAGCTACCCCCGTCCCTCCGTTCGCATGCGTTAATTAAATTAAAAAAATCAAATTGTTAAATTTAAATAAAAATTCTGAGTATTTGAACTTTGTGAGGGGGTGGAGGGGGGACGAAAAATAGAGGAATGTTGAAAATTTTGCTGATGAAAATTTGGTGCTTGAAGAATAAGGGTCACGGGAGTCAGAATCAGCGTTATGAGGGCCAAAATAATTATGAGTAATTTAATAAAAAATTGTACCAATCCTGCATTGTGCTAATTAATTAGTAATAAAATTTCTCATACTTTTATAATGATGTGAAACAACAAAAGGGTCGATTCACACTCATCCCTTTCGTTTCTTGCCAAGTGAAACCTTCACAATACCTTCATAACAGCAGATTGCTCTCGAAAACTGGAACAAAGAAAATGAGTTTTGCCCTGCTAACTGAGAAAGAAATTAATGCTCGAGTAAATGCTGAATGTTTCCCGTCTCTAGATGCGTATCGGTGTCAATCTCAAGAATTTATGAACCCCAGGATTTTCATAACGAGGTACTAAGTAGTTGAAAGTCCTGCTTGAAATAATAGCCACT